TCGATATTCTCAAGAGTTTTCTCATCAAATGCGAAAAATCGAAAAAAAACAGAGGAAAAACGGGAAAATGTACGAAATATATCAATATATTATTACGATTTTTTTTTCTGTGGACAACTTTTTTACCAGTTAATTTGCTCCGACTTATAATAATAGCAATGTTTCTAAAAGGAAATCCTACTTGGGAGGTACTTTAAAGAGGTTATTTTTCGATTTTCGCAGAAGTTTTTCCAGCAAGTGTGAATAGCCGGGAAAAAACGTAAGAAAACCGGGAAAATCGGTACAACATTAACAAATAATATTAAATAAAATAATCTATAATGCATATTTAATTATTTTACTATAATATATGGCATATATATTGTTGACAAAGAATCACTATCAACTGAACTCCGCTCAGAATCGTTTTTCGTAAGAAATGGTTTATCTTTGCTTATAGGTATATATTAAATTACCTATAATAATGGCTGCGCCAGTCCCCGTTATCCTAGGACATCCTTTTTTTTATATTGAAGAATTTGTATTTCTGTGAATTTCTGCGAATATCAGTAAGGTGTTTTTTAAAATAAAATATAAGTGGACGTTTTTTTTTACAGAATATTCTCAAATTATATAGATAAGTGATCAAGACGGGGGGAAGACCCCGTTTCCGAAATTTGTTTCTACGTTCGTCCCTTATATGCATATAATATAGACTAGGCTTCCCCTCCAACTCGTATTGGGCACCCGACCGTTATTTCAGTTGATTGGACTGCACTACACGCGCGCAATCACCCTGTATACAGTACCCGTTCTAGCCCGTCGACACCTTGTCAACGATTATACTAATAATATGCGCCTCGTGAATTTTCGCTCACCGTAATTTTATATTTCCGGAACCAGTATAATGGGTTAGGTAGGTATAATAGAAACCTATAAGTGTTTAACACGCGTGTGCGAGTTTTGTACAAACACCGTTTTTTTTTATTTTTTTTTTTATATAGCCTGTTACATAACGCAATACTGGTTTACGCGGCGGCGGCATCTCGAATGCTCGGCGAAATACTCTCCGATCGACTTGTGGCCGACGTACACCAATACTGTTAAAGTCTAGCCACGATAATTCATTCCCGTCGATGTCCGGTCGCGATAACTCACTGGGAACGTCCGGTTCGGGTGAGAAGCGCGACGAGGGCACCCGTATCGCAGTACATACACGCGAAACACACGCAGCCGGGCGCTTGGAATTCCGCCGTTCGTGGTGGATTCGTTGTTTTTTTTTTTTTTTTGTTTTCCTCTTCTGTCCACCTCGACCGCGTCGGGCGAAACGGGCCGAGAAAACCGCACGAACAAGGTCACGACCACCGCATAGCGGGTACGCCGCCAACGCCGTCACGCGTCGTCTCACGCGGACGTAGAAAAAAAAATAAAAAATAAATAATAAACGCGGCGTCCCGTCTTACAGCAGAAGATTACGGAATCCTGTTTAATAAATTTCATTAGGTTTTTTTTTATTTTCGTCGGCGCAGCGTGGTAGTGTTTCACATGGGTGCGCACGGAGTTACCGACTCGGTGTAATTTATCGCTCGTCCGGACGATAATGCGAAATATAGTTTTATTCGCGTGTACGCATAACATAGTAACATGGTCGCGGGACGAATGAAATAAATCACGGCGCTTTTACCGCGTCGCGTACGGCGACGTGCCGCAACTGTTTTTCCGGTTTTTTTTTTTTTTTTTTTTTTTTTTATCGAAAATGCTGTTTTCGTGTAATGCTAAGATCCCGCGGGCGTTGCATAGGCGCGAGGGTACGACATTAAAAAACACGCGGGCATCCGAGCTCCGTCACGGGAGTCGAGTTTTCCCCCGATCGGACATGTTGCCGTGACAGCATTTAACGTTTTTTTTCTTAAATTTGTTTTAATTAACAGGTCTAATGCATTTTTATTCACTTAGCAACCGTGCATTGACTTCGCGTCTAACCACCTCCCTCCCACTTCACGGTCTACTGCCCTTCCCTTCTTTCCGATAAAATATTTTAAACTCTCGGTAACATCAAGGAGTTGAACAATAACAATTTTACCAAAATAGGTAAAGTAATTGACAAGATTAATATAAACACGCAGACGGTAGACTTGTGGGTTGAAAGTTTAAACCTTCACAACAATTCTATTTATGTGTACCCATTTTTACCACGTTACTCACTTTATGTCAGTGGCGTCATTTCAGTTTTTGAGAGGGTTGGGGGGCAAACGTTTTGGCTAGCTAATAATAAAACTGAAAAAAAACCGCTCGGTAACTTGTTCGTCACAATTACTTTTTTATCTTAATACAAATACCCTCCTTACATTATTTGGTATTTACTATCATACGCATAATCAACCCATTTTTTTGAGAGACAACAATGACTAAATAATAAATTATAAATATATACGCAGAGGTATACCTACATATATTATTACCTATTTAACTACTATATGAAGACATAGTTTTAGAGGAATTTTACCTCAATTTATGTCCTATTTTCGCCAATTTGTATGGCATATAATTGCATCATAAAATCATAAATCATAAGTGTCAACATGTAGTCGGATTAAATTTCGCCATCCGTGACTTAAAAGTGTAGAAAATATGGGTAGTTGTGAATATTAATATTTTACAAAAACGGGTAGATTAGATCATTAAATAGAGACCCAACCAAATCGCGGTTATCCAACGTTCTGCTTGACAAAATTAACATTGTATTATAATATAATTTTCAACGTAACTCGGGCCTATAAAATTGATTGATTACTTCAGATTTTTAGGTACCTGGACGAGTCATTGTAATTACGTATGTTATTATTATTTTTTTTTGATTTATATAAGTCAAAAAATATTTATATATTTTTGTTAAAATATTATTATATTCGGCGATGCAATATGGATGTAATTATCGAAATTAAAAATTATTATCAAATATGCCATACGAATCTATAATTTACAAAACACAAGTCTTCATTCTTTTATATGTAAATAAAAATAATCTGAATTGTTAAAATTTCTATAGTATACAATAGCAAAAACTATAATAATATAATATGTTATATTAAACATGAAGATGTGTCTTTTTACAAGGAATTTTCGATAATACTTTTTTTTTCCTTCGCAAATTCATACAATTTTTTACGACTTTTCTGTGTAATATCTAAATACATAAATAGCATATAAGTGTGTACACCCGCCAATAGCAGTTTATTGCTGCACGCGTCTAGGTCAGTGGCGGTCAGTGACATTTTTAGTGCGCATAAAATATAATAGGTATTTTAAACTTTATGGTTATGAAATGATTATCACTATCTACTTATCGACTCGCATCAGGACAAAGAAGAAAAAGAACGCAAGTTTAATATTTCATAATTCCCGTGATTTTACGTTAATAATTGTCAATGAGCCGTTGAAATATTAATTATAGCGTCCGTAACAAAACGTGAATGATTTTATTTATAAAGCGAATATTCAAAACGAAAAATATCTATTTCGACGGACATACTTTACATGAAGTTGAGAAGATAAAGGATATAGAAGAGAATTCAATACGTGACCATTAATTATTGCTAACGCAAAACGATTCTGAGCAGAGTTCATAATATTTACGATTTCCATCAAACTTTTATATTAAAATTTTTGTAAAAAAAAATTATACATTACATTCAATTTTTTTTAACCTCCTGTTAAATTTTCAAACAATTCTGTTTGGTCTAAAAATTGCATTCACAGAGTATCTACTGAAATAAAATTATGTAAAAACTCGCGGTATTAAAATGTCTATAAATAATAACTTAAAAATGGCTGAAATATTTTGAACATTTTACGAGGAATAGGAAAGGTAAATATAAGTTTTTTGTTCAAATTACAAATTTCTACGAATATTTTTAAGCGAATCATAACAAAACAGGTTGACATACTTCACACGTGGGTGGACCACTGTTGTAGGTGAGGAAGTTGGGAAGGTAGAGTGGAAATTTAATGTATATCTGTACGTAACGATTAACCATTAGTAACGAAAAACAATTCTGAGTGGAGTTCGGTTAATAGTGTTGCTTTGTTAACAATTTTGTTGAAAAATGTATTTGCATTTGTATTTTTATTCTCATCTTGTCATTTATCAAATGTTTAAATTACCTGTCTAGGCGTTAAAAATTACAATAAAAAAAATAAAATTATATATGTCACATTATGGTAAAATAATTACATATGCATCATTATACATTGTTTTAATAATATTTGTTGAATATTGTATCTGTTTTCCCGTTTTTTCCCAGATTTTCCAAAGTTTTTTTTCCATTTATTTGGAAAACTCCTGGGAAATATCAAAAAAATGAACACCTCAAAGCACCACTCCAGTCAGATTTCCTTTCAAAATCGTGCTATCATTGTGAATCGGAGCGAAATATCGCTGGTAGAAAAGTGGTTCACGGGAAAAATAAAAAGGCCGTAATTTATTTTTTACTAATACCTACACGTTGTACATTTTCCCGGTCTCGTCCTGCATTTTTTCGCGGTTTTTCCCGTTTATCGGGAGGCCGGGTGTCACTAACCCAGTAGTACCTATCTACGAAAAGGAACTCGTTTCGTTCGCGAGGAACCGTCGCCCGACCGGTGTACACGGAAGAACAGACGGCACCGGTTACATAATTATAACATTAAGCGACGACCGAGTTTCGCGCGGTGTTTTACGAATTTCCCGCGTGCGACTTTACCGACTGCGAACCGGTCCGACGTCCCTGACACCGCCACACCACACCCCCCCCCCCCCCCACCCTCCCCACCAGACACCGGCCCAAAAGCGAAGGTCCCGGAGAAACGCCGCGGTCGTCGGGCGAACCGGGCCGTCCGCGCGTACGGACCGCGCAATCCACCGATCGCACCGGTGTGAACGGCGGTCCGCACGTTTTGTTCAGTTTCGTCGAACGTAACGCGTTTGTGTTTTTCTATCTCTTTCTCCTCCGACTGTACGACGACCCACACTCTCCCGTAGCCCTCGCCGCCGACATCCGACCGACCGACGACCGCGGCGTACACACACACACACACACACACGCCGGTAGGTTCTCTCGCCGGCCGTTTTCCTAGCGCAGAACACGTCCGCCGCGCACGGTCCGTTCGGTTTTTCCGTTTCGTTTTTCCCCTTTCACCGGCTTGTCGACAGGTGCGACGCTACAGGACAACGCTTTGACGTCATTGCTTTGACGGCGGGTCGCGGTTATCGTCCGACTTTACGGGCGGCAATAGGACGTGTAATCAACGCAATAATAATACGGGCGACGCGTACGGCGAAAAGGTGAGAGCTCGTCATATTTATTATTACTATTATTTATTTATCGTTGTTATACTTCGGGATTATCTGCACTCCAATCGTAAAAAAAAAAACGCCGTGTGCCGTTTTGTTGGGCATTTTTTTTTTTTCTATTTCTCTCGCCAAACGTTCGCCCGTCATCCCCGGGCGGATAACATTGTTAACCGTCATTGTAGGTATTATTATTACAGTTCTCGGCGCGGAAATAACGTTCGCGCGTTGCGTAACGCCGCCGCCGGGCACCACTTATCGCGTAGTTTCGGGACCGGGAGGTTGGCACTGCGGACCGTCGCCCCACCCCGGCACACGGTCGGACGTTCCCGTCGCGTCGATCCGCGCACTCGGAATAACGCCCCCGACGTTCCCCTCCCCACACACCCGTCGACCGCGGGCGCGTAATTTATTTTTTTTTCTCCGGCATTGTTGTTGAAAAAAAAAAAAAAAAAAAAAACACAGAAAGAAAAACGTCATCGAGACGGTAATTTACCGTTCTCGGCGTTTGGCAGATGTTTGTGGGGGGCAGGTACCTATAATACGATATGACACCCAAAAATACGCGAAACGTAAACTCGTATCGAAAACTGAATTTATACAAATATTTGCCTATTCAGTGATATTATTTTCGTTTATCGAATAATAATAATGATATAAATATGGTTACTTATTTAGTGGTTCCATCTCCTGAAATAAGGGCAATGCAACATTTTAGAGCCATTTGTTTCATAAGTTGATCCAAAAACGTTAATAATTTCCGAAATCATCTTTGGCAATGATAAAATTGATTTACCTATATAGATAATATGATAACCGCCGGCCGTATTTAGAATTTATTGGCCACCTTAAACTAGACTACGGTGCGAACCCTATCACGGGTACAATTTAATTTTTTTTTGATTATCAGCTTTTTTAGTACAGGTCCAAAGGCTACAGCGTATGAAGCTTATGTTTAAATACGGCCCTGATAACCGTCCAAACCCTTTTATATTACCGACTAAAGTCTACCCGTATCCATGATGGTTGAAATGTTTAAAACGAAATGTATTGTAAGTGACTTAAAATGTGTGATATGTGAATAGTGATTAAATGTGATCAAAGTTGAAAGATCCATTTCAAATATAGCTTTAATTAACGCTGAATTTCCTCTAAAAGATATTCTCTCGTCTTTATAGTTCAACATGTATAATGCTTTTGATCAATTCGTATTAGTTAATCATAAGGATCCTTTATTCATTGAAAATTTGCAATTCCGTTTAAATCCTCGGTCTGCATAATATGCAATTTGGCAAATTAAATTAAACCTCAATAAATCCGTGCATACGACATTTGACTTAAGACATGGACTCTGTCCAAGTATTACTATTAATCTGCCTCTACACAATTAAATACTTTGGTCTAAACCTCGACAAAAGACTAACTTGGAAAAGTCATATTAAAAAAAAAGACAATTAATACTCAATGCTTGATCCAGATTCCAGATCATTAAAAATATTCCTTTCAAATAATAAATTTAATATTTTAAAAATAAATTAATCTTTCTTAAAGCCCATATGGATGTATGGAATTCAGATACGGGAATCGACTAAAAAAAAAAAGTGAAAAAAAAAAAGAGTTAATACTGAGGAAGGGTGTAGCCACTGTTTTAGGAGATAAGTTGAGAACATAGAATACATTAAGTGATACATGAAGTTATTTAATTTATACCTTTACGTAACGATAAACCATTGTTAAAGAAAAACGATTCGGAGTAAAGTTCGGTAAAACATATTTTGAAATGACCTAATTTTTACGATTTTTGTCAAAATTTGATCATAAAACTATTATGATAAAAACCTCATGTATTAAACTCACATTTTTTTTTTAGATTATTAAGTACAACTTATAATGTACCTTGTGTTAAATTTTCAAACATTTCTCTCAAGTCATATAATTTTAATAATAGATAGGTACCTACTAAATAAAAATAGACATAAAAACACGTACATATCAAATGCCTTTAAATAACCGAAACATCGTTGGATGATTTTAAAATTTGACTGCCTCTTTTCCTACGTTTTTCGGCAGTATACTGACACGTAAGATCGAATTTAATATCATACAGAATATATACAGCTAATCCTTCAGTTTAACCTCGCATTTGAACTTTTTTTAATCACGTTGCGCTATCTGATATTATCCGTGGGTTCTTATCGAATAACATTATCAATTTATAACAAAAAGTGTTCACAAAACACGATTAGTTTATATACGTACTTTGCATAGTTATTAATAAATATATAGCTAGGTTTCTGTGCTGGCTGATTTTAATACGTTTTATTTTAAATAGGGACGTACGGCGTTTTAACCCATTGAAAACCGAATTATCCATATCGTCATCACTATATTTAATGTAAATTTAATGTAATTTATTTTTAATTTGTAATTTTTCTTTTAAACAAAATAAGTGTGAAAAAATATATGGATATATTTCGCACGATGGGTGAGCTATTGTTGTTGGTGAAAAGTTGGGAAGGTAAGGAAATGTAATATATATCTATATACGCTACGATCAATCATTGCTAACGAAAAATGATTCTGAGCGGATTTCGGTTAATTGTGTTGCTTTGCCATCAATTTATATCTTATATTGCATATACATTATATATTTTCTTTAATATTTGTTCAATATTGAACCTATTTTCTTGTTTTTTCTACTTTTTTCCCATCTATTAGGAAAAACTTCTGGGAAAATCGAAAAGATGACTTTTAAAAAAAATACTATTCCAGTCAAATTTCCTTTCAAAAAAAGTGCTAAACTTGAAAATTGGAACAAAATTACTTGTAGAAAAGTTGTTCACAGAAAAAAAATAAACATTGTAAAACCATTGCATTCCTCACTCAGCTCAAAATCTAAAATCCTCTTGAATAATATTATCACAGCAGTTTATCTCTATGACTATATAAATCTAAATAAAGTATGATTATTCAATTATTAATCATTTGTCGAAATGGGGACATATCGCCTAACATACAAATTGCTCGATTATAAAAATATTATTACGCCATATTATATATTACAATAATAATTACTTTTATATTATATTTAACACGTGTATTTATTTATTAGAAAGGTTAACGTATAAATTATTAGTAGGTAATTACATTTCGAAAATTATAATAATCTTCGGGGTATTGACCAACATTCATAATAATTAATATTATATGATATACCATATATATATTATTAAGTATTATTATATTCTAAAACCGATACTTTAAAACAATTTTATTAGCAGATTTCGGGAATTATAGCGCTTAAAATCAATAAAAACAAAATTAATTTAAAAACTTATTTATAGTCCTGAAATGAGCACTTAAAAATATTTTAAACTGAAATAACTAAAAAAAGCACTGAAAAAAAATAATAATAAAAAAATGTTTAAGTGGACAAAAGCACTTTTGGTTTTCACATTTGAACTTGTTGTAACATAATATAATTATGATTTCGATTTGAAATTTGAACCACGCACTCTACAGTATCTGATTATTAATATTATGCAAATATTGTTTAAAAATTCAGTTAATTATCATAGAGCTAAAGGTTAAAATATTATGTTGAAGTATCATTAGACCCGTTTTGAACAATTTTGGGAAATTAAAAAAATGTTTGGCAACAGATTATCAAATGTTTAAACAATTAAACATTAAAATTAATATTTTATTTTTAAGAGAACAGCAGTTTCACATATAAAGACTTAAAAACGTAAAAACGATTTACGATGGGAAATAGTGTAGTGTAATAATACTCAATAATTCAATAGAATTTAGAAAAAATCAAAAAGCAAAGAAATAAAAAATAATCACTTATGGGCTATATAAAAAAATTAGATTATGTTATAATAACCAATTTTAATCACAAATATAAATAGTTAACAGCCAATAACCATAGCATGATAACATTAAGCTATAGTCCTGTTGAGAAGCAACTCCTGCTGCAGCCTGTGTCTTAAACCATTGTTTTTGCTCTATACTGTTGTTTTGGTTTAGGTATTAGTGATAAGTTATAAAAAAAGATATTATTAATTTTAAAATGTATTGCCATACATTATATTTTAAATAATAATTAATGCTATAAAAAACAGTCTTATTTGTTACAAACACCATGCCACTACATGGGGGAGCTAAATAAATATTTGGATAGACCCCTATCATCTTCCAAATCGTGTTTATGAACGTTATATTACGTTAAAATTGATGTATTCGAAAATTATTTCAACACGATGGCCCATACGGTTTCTGTTATCGGCATTTAATTTTACAATATTATAATGATGATAATAATAATATGCAGTGGTCGAACATCACAAGCTATGCTGTTGCATTAATTAAAATTAATTTTAATATTTAATTACCATACCACGGGTAAGAATTATTATTAAGTATTGATAAATTACTACTTACGTTTCGAGTCAAGGATGCTTCCGGAGATGTTGAATTGTTGAAGAGTTACGTAATGAGTAAACACGCGATTTAAAGAGATATTTTTTAATTCGGCTCAAAATATTATATACTTATTACCTACTCAATTATATAGATTTTATGCAATTATCCAATCAATTTTTCAAATATTATATTGTTATTTTATTCTTCTTCTTCTTAGCTTTATAATTATCCAAGAGTCTTTGCCGCCATCATCACAGTCATTTTTTTCTATCCCGAACATCTTTATTCCAAGCTTCTACATCCAATATCCTTATGTCTTGGATTACCCCGTCGAACCATTGATCCCTTATCTTGGGTTATCTTGGAAATCTATGTAATCTCTCAGAATTTTGCGTTTGTCCTTCTATGCCAGCACCCCAAATCGTTGTTGTATCAACTGCACCGCAGATCTTCATCAATATTTTATTCTCAAAGGATATTAATTATATTGATTGATGCGAACAAAACTTTCTGTAAACACAAATAATATTATAACAATATAAACTATGGACCGATATTAGCAGTAAACAAACCAAAAACAATAGTAATAATCAGTTAATAACGCGTGCGAGTGGGATACGGTTTAGAATAATGTATAGGTATTGTCTATGGTAAACGAATTATAATACGGAGAAAATATGGTTCAGATTATCAAATGATAACTAATCGTATATATCGTAATTAACCTATGATCTATCTGGGTTATCGTGAAAATGTGTAAAAATATGGAATAATTGAATAATTGTTAATGCAGGTAAATTATAATATTCTATAAAATATCGGTGCTCTTAAACGGTCAATATAATATTATATTACAACAATAAGTTATGATAATATTATATGCCCATAAATTATATTTAAAAAAAATCCCTAAGTACTTCGCACTATGTTTCAAAGGTATATTATAGGATGCGGGGTAATTTAATTTATGCATCGAAAACAATGATAAATCATTGCATTCAAAAAAACTATTCTGAGCGGAACATTATCAGTCATGTTTTTTCATTCTCTTATTGTGGCCAAGGTAACACAATAATTAACAAAAATAAAATTGACATATCGACAATTCTTGGGAATCTAGAAATTTGTTTCAATTTAAGTACCATATGGTAAAAAAATCCGCATCATTTAATGTACAGCATTTAAAAACCAAAATATTTCTATTAACTCAAAAATTGTTTTTCCAGAGAAAAAAATTAACATCTTGCCATCTTGGTAAAACTAATAGGTAGTAACTGAAGTAACGCAATACATTTATAGCAAAATTTAACTATACAAATACATTTTTACACGGTGATAAATGGGCTTGTGAAATAATTCTTGATAAAGTATATTTTTATCAACAAATCAAATTTAAAATATTCAACAGAATTTATTTTAACTCCATGTAAACGAGTTTATCTTTGTATAAATATTTGGTGCGACCCAGCATCGTTATTTAAAAACATGACAACTTGACAACCTAACAGTGATATCTTTTTCGATCCAGTGCTTCTTCATCGAGATAATCGCCAACGTTCACATCTTGCCAAACAAAAAAATGGAGGGGGGGTATTTTCATTAGTATATGTTGTTTTAAATTTGAAAACAACTCTTCAAACCCAGTCTGTTAAGAAACCGAAATGCCTCTTGGAGAGGGACAGGTGCGGATAGGCTCACCGAGACACTGGAATTTTTCCGGTGGGCCGCTACTCATATTGACGGAAATGGGCCGATGAAAAATACTGCTATTGTATAATGTTTATAAACACAGATATTCAAAGTTAATAAAAAATACTGTAGCCCCTATATTTTAGTGCAATTTAAATTAAAATAAACTGTTCTATGACTAAGCAATGAGTAATTCCATCTTAATCCAAGCATCGTCGAGCAGCCACGTTATCGGCTGACCACCATCACTAGTGTTTATCTTGGATTTGGGAATTTGAATATTATTTTTGTATTTCACTTGCAACTGTAGAGGCATATTTGTATACATGTTGCATAATTAATCGAATCCAGTTATTTTTTAAATACTTACAATTATTCGAAAATAGAAAGGAGGGATAAGTAAATATGTTTATTTATACATTCGTTTTACAAAATCAATAAAAATAATTAAAATTAAAATTTGTTTGTTATCATTTAAACTCCTCCCTTATCGTATCATGTTCAATTTTGGAACTTAACATAGATACCTTAAGGTATATGGAAAACTTTTTTTTTTTTTTGTTAGCACTAATCTTTTCTATTGAAATTTGAATAGTGTAATAATAAACTTATATTTTTTTTTCAAAAAAAAAGATTTGAAGGGTTACTCTGGTTGTTGAATCTTGAATAGGAACGTGTGGGCTGTTAGATTCTATTTTTTCCGGACCGGTTAGATCATTCCTATCCATCCCTGGAGAGGGTGGTGAGTTCGGTAATTCCTTAGTTAAGAACAACTGATCTATGACATAAAATTATAACAAATACATTTTAAAGACAATTTACACAAACCTATGTATTACCATTGCGTGTGACTGTTATAAATGATAATTTTAAATATATTATGTTTCAGAGTTTATTTTAAAAGTATACAAATATAAATTGTATTAAATAACACTATACACCATGGACGGAGAAAAAGAAAATTTGAATAATTCTAACGGTAAAATTAAGGAAAACGGTGAATCGTTTAAAGACGACGGCGACAGCAATTTGCCATTGCACAAACAAATATTACAAAATATAACCACCGAACCGATGTTGTTTCCGTACATGATATCTTCGATTCTGGTGATACTGACCAATCAGAATTTGAACATCCAAAAAGCGTGTAGAGTTGATTTAAACTTAAGCGCCGAGGTGTGTAAAGGTCTGGAGGACAAGGATTCCAATTCCACTTCTCTCGACAATAGCGAAATAGTGGTTCAAAAGTTAGTGGCCGACATGCTCATTTGGCAAACGATTCTACAAAACAGCATTCCCGCCGTGTTCGTGATATTTCTTGGCTCCTGGAGCGACAGAAACCGGCTGAGGAGACCGTGCATGTTGTTGCCCATTTACGGGGAAATCGTCCGGAACATTGGCCTTATGGTTTGCGTTTATTTTTTCGACGAGTTACCGATGAACGTGTCGGGTCTGTGGCAAGCACTTCCGATAGCCGTCACGGGATATTGGGCTGTCATGTTCATGGCAGTATTCTCCTACGTCGGAGACGTCAGTACGGTAAGCTTGCTGAAATCTACCCGTGTGGCATAAAAAGCCAAAGTTGTATATTATTATTTATTACAAAAAACACTTCCCCCACCGGATAAAATGGCTTATAATTGAAAAATTCGTTTTGTTTTTACACAGGAAAAAAACAAAACCTTAAGAGTGGGTTTGGTAAACGCAACGATGGCCCTGTGTCTTCCCATTGGCACCGGTCTGTCCGGGATATTGTACCGGAAGGTCGGATTCTACGGGGTGTACACCATAGCGTTGATACTAGGTTTCATCAGCGTTTGGATGGCTCACATATTTATCCACGACACCAAACGGATCAAATTCGAATCGGAAAAGGAAAAGGAAAAATCGTATTGGACCCGTATCAAGTTCTTTTTCAATTTGAAACACTTGGTCGAGGCGTTCCGAGTGACGTTTAAAAAGGAAAAGAACAATAGGAGAATGAAAGTGATCGCTTTGACGGTGCTCATCACTGGAATCATGGGGCCGTTGCAAGGTAAATGTGTAGTTTATAATTATTCAAACCTCAGAAATCGCCATTTACGTTATGAATGCTTTGATTGTTCATAATAATACTAATCTGTTATGCATAGAAATTGCAAATAGACAACATTATAGCCAATATACGTAGCCAAGGTGACTACACCACTGAATATATTATGTAGATAATAAAACTGCCTTGTTCGAAGAACAATTCATTAATAAGTTTAAGTTTTCACGATTTTCTAATAAAATATTGAAAACAACATGCATATACGATACACCTATATATTAATATACTATAATAATTCAAAATTATTATATATAATTGCGTCATGATATAACGTAACATATTATTATCAATTCATATATACACAGAAAAAAAAAAAAAAATGACATCCTTGTATTTTCTATATATCTATCCAGTAAATAATATTTACTATAATATATACAACTAGGAAAAATTCCAACGTGTAATTTTTAAACACGTTTACATTAATAATTACTGTCGATATGTAATTTTTTATTTTTTTTTTTTTTGCAATAAGTCAGTAAAGAATTTATTGTAATCTAATAATATTTGCTCAGAAACATTTCGAATTCATATTATATGGATAAAGTATGTAGAAATACAATGATTAATAATGCAAATCTGTTTAGTATTCTGTATAAAATAATCAATAAAGTTATGATAGTCTTCAATGAGAAACCTGATGTTACATAATGAAGGTAATATCGTGGGCGTTAATCAAAAATTCGAACTCACGTATCGAATCCAACACAATAAATACAAAATTGTAGTTTATTGTGATACCTATATTGTGGGCGGCTTTACTATAGTTTATAACCAAGGTCGTACCTGAGGAGGATTTTAGGAAGTTCACCCACCTATTCCGCGGTTTTATTTCCACGTGAATATTTTTTTATTATTTTCAAGATAAATGCTAATTATTATGTTTTGTAACAAAAACAATAGATGAAAACCATGATTTTTATTGAAAACCCCTCCTCAAAATTTGGTCCAGCCATTTATTGAACCTTGACTATAACTCCTAACTTTTTATTGCTACTACTACTACTTGGTTATATATGTATAATTTTGAAAATTTCTGAAATCTAAAAATAAAATGCGGTTTTTATATTGCCGAAAATGTCTTTTAATCGAAACGTATTTCGGTATACTAGATATTATACGCATTCCAAAAATAATTATACACATACTGGGAAATAGAACATACTAAAATACTACCCAACTATAATATTCATATTAATGTTTACAAAAAAAAATTATATCTTTATATTATATTATACTAGTTGATTCGACATTGCTTTGCTATTGCTAGATAATAGTGTAAATAATGCATTATTATTAATACGCCGCATGCCGTGTGCCCGTGCCGCTTTACAAACGATAACTTAAATATAAAATAGTTGAGCTGCTCGTGTCTTAAATGTTCTGTGAAAAAAATTCCGAAAAAGTTAATTATTTCCGAAATAGTGAGTTTACCCACTCAAATGGATCACCTTGTATGATTTCCCCCTCACATGATTAATATTAAACCAAAATACAGTCAACAGTTTCAATAACAGGAATTCTGATTAAAAAAAATTTTAAATTAATTTAATTGCAATTTAAATGATTGCGGTTTAGTTTTTAAAATTCAAACTCAAATTAGAAAAAAAAAAAAAAAAAAAAAACTAATAATTATAAAGCTGATTAGATATTGATAATAAACAAAAATCATTATAGAAATAAAAATGTTTTTGATAACGTCTTGTAGATCTGTACACCATAATATATTCTTATAAATGTATAAACACAGTAATTATCATTTATTTTATTATCCTACATACCGAACACATAATCATATTATGCTATGTTGTGTAATTCGTATAATGGTAGTTCCCACTAGAGAGCTACATTATAGAGCCCGGGTTCATATTTATAAAATGTTAATATCGGAATCGTAGGAAATTATTGTAGCTTTAACATCGAAATAATTTATTCGAGATGCGCCTGGTTGAATAAAAACTAAGAATATTCATTTTGTCTCCGTTGAATCCCACAGAACGTTGTGTTATGTAACCTAAAATAAAAATCGTCCATTGTGTGTCACGGACGTTCAAAACCAGTTCTTTGATGTTTTTGAACCCATCATATTATTCTGTGCACGGGAAAAATGTATAGGTATTTATTTAACGATGGTAAAGCTAAAAATAGAAAATACGATTAAATAATTAATTGGTCGGTGACGTGCGCATGGGGCGGTGCATTGGTTATATCCCCCTAACGGCTTAAACATTTTACAAGAACGCGTGCTTAGTAATTTTATAAAACACAAGTCGTATTAAAAGGAAACACGTTTGATTCATTGAATATCAATTGGATTTGTTGAGTCCGACTTGTGTATAAAAATATACAATTCTCATTGCCGGGTTAGGTATAACAGCTGAAGATGCTACTGTTTATTCATGAATCATAATTACTGTTCACTACTAAATCTCCTCTCCCATTGAAAATCGCCATACTTTTTAACAGAAACACGATGCTCAAAATGTGATTTATCTAAGTAATTTACGTTCAAGATAAAATAAAAAAATGATTTACTTAATCGTGACCTCAATATCATAATACAAAACATACCTATAATATGGGACTAATTTTATTTGATTTATAGGCGACAAAGGAGTTGCGTATCTGTTTACACGGGTCAAGTTCAACTGGAACGAAGTGCAATACAGTGTATACCAAACGACTTCGATGTGCATCAACCTTGCGGGTCAGTGACAGTTACATTGAAATAATATTTTTGTTTTGGTATACGTAATATTTACTTTCTTTTTTTTATTATTATTTACTGCAGGAACATTTTTCGTCCTCGGAGTTGTGGTTAGAAAATTCGGCGTCGACGACGCGCTGATCGGTATCGTGGCTACTACTGGGAAATTCGTGTCACAATTCATATTCGCTTTTGCTGCCACCGAATTCCTGTTTTATTTCGGTGAATACAAAACATATCTCACTAAAATTGTACAGGATTGTAATCATAGTGATACGATATTCAATAACGTGTCTATAATCTATATTATCCCTGCGAATATATCACATACACCGCGCACTATTAGATGGATGCAAATTTAATCGGGATCAAAACAAAATAAATCTGAAATTGTAAAATAATATAATAATATCGACGACGGATAGATTTGACCCGGCTGTGGCGGTGCGAGTGAGGAAAACCATAGGTACCTCGTGTGTAGACGTTATTACCAAAATATATCGGCGGACCAATAATGGTCACAATACATTTTAAAACTGATATTTCGTGTTATTAATTTAGAACCTATAAGGGCCCGCGATATTACCGATAATCGTGCCGGTTGCCGCCGCCGCCGCCGGGCCAATCTATCTGGCGCCGACTGTACATAATATTGTGTTATTATTACTGTTCTACCTATGTGTCAAATAAATTATCGGTAATATGTGTGTAATTGCATTGATTTATAATGTATTATAAAATCAATGGTAATTAAAACTACCTACCTAATTACCTACCCAATATTTTCAATAAATTCGGCTCAGTCGTTATCTTTATACTTTCAACTATGCGAATTGATTAATGTTACGATTTAACCCAATGTTACTGCACTTGCCGCATTATCGGTGTCTATATACAGCGCTGTAGCCAGCAAAAACGGTGAAATTGTTCGTTACGCTCTGAATCTAAAATTGAATGTTATTTATAGTATTTGTATTTTTATAAAAGTTTTGAAATCAAATTTTAACGAAAATTGTAAATATTACAGCCTTTCAAAATATGTACAACCGAGCTTCATGCACTTTTTGTTAGCAACGGTTTATCGTTCCTTACGGATATTTATTAATTAATAGCCTTATATGTATCCGTCTTCCCAACTTCCTACCTACAACAATGATACACCCGTCCCCAGTATCAGCATTTTTAAACTTATACCGTTTCATGTTTATTAATATTAATAACAATAAATACATTTACAGGATTGATTGTGAATTGTTTACAAGGACCGGCTATCATATCGATGAAATCAATCATAAACAAAATCATCCCGGCTCAAGAACTCGGTGAGTACTAAAAGAAGATTTTCAACAAAGTGTATGTGCGTTTTATTGATTAATTTAAATTTGTCCAATCTCGTATAGGTCAAGTAAGCGCAGTGACGGGCATAGGAGAAAACATTATACCCGTCATATGTGGACCATTATACAGTTACGTGTACGAAGCCACCGTCTCTTACTTCCCTGGTGCTTACTTCTTAGTGACCGCAGCTATAACGTTTCCTACCATTTTCCTTTACATGTAAGTACGGGTTATGAATAAACAATGGTTTATTTGCTTTCTTTTGTATAGTCTAAAATTAATGTTACAAGTTCTGTATACATTCGAAATGCTGAGGCGTAGCTAGAAATATTTATCTGGGTAGGACAGATAAAATAATATAAATGATTGAATATAAAAGACTACTAATACAAATTTTTGATTTTAAAATGATGTCAATTTTTTGAGAAAAGTGGGTAGGCTCGGGCCTAGCAGGTCTACCCGCTGACTAGGCTACTGCCGATATGACATCAATAGAAAACCAATAGAATGTGTAATTGCGAAAGTATTCAAATATCGGGAAGATGAATCTAACTTACTAATTTTCTAATGCGGTATCATTGAACAGGGCGAAATTATCTGAGGGCAAAAGGAGAGCATGTTTCACCACCTATATATGTTCGAGAAAAATCTAAATAGTACTGAATAATATAATTCGTATACTAAGTGAATTACCTAGTATTTACCGGACTCCATTCTTCAAAAACAGAAATTCAATTTAACCAGTCTTCGCGTTTATATCAGTGTATATAAATGTATACAAATATTATTTTGTAAAATGTATAAACATTAAACGTACCTTTAGGCATCTGAGTTATAATCTTTTAAAAATTTCAAGATAATTACTGAGCTTTTTCAGTTAAGTAATTTTATTGTCGATTATAACATCCCGAATAAAAAACATTATTTCGATACGCCACTGCCTCTGAATCTATAAATGTATTTATTTATTTTAGATATAAAGTAATATCATAGTTGTTTTCATAGGTGGCTCTATATGCAGCATAGAATGGAAAAGAAACAATTATTAGCATATGAAGCCATAGACGATGGAAAACAAGACGAGAGCGCCCTGAGTGACACTTGTGTAAGTGTTGCTAGTTACGGTTCAATAAAATTGTAGGTAATCGCGATAGCTCCTGTGTCAATAATTTCGTGAACTATAATACGTTTTTTTTTTTAATGTGCCGTTTGTATAACTTTACAATAAAGTTCCTATTGATCTGTTGACCAATTTCAGCGTCACAAACTAAAACGTAGTGCTATGTTAATATATAGTTAACGAATTATGACCATACAACTTTTGTTTGGCTATATACCTATTTTTTTTTTTTTTTTTATTATTTAATTTTAAATAACATATATCATCGGGTGTTCATTAATTTAAACAAAATATATTGTTAGCTGTTAAATAATATTTAATTATTTATTTTAACTACTTTTATCCCCGCTGTAATTCATGTTGATTGTGTAGTATCTAATAATATTTTTACCTGTATTAAGTAAATTTATTTTATTTGTAATTTACATACTATTCAATGTACAGTAAAAAAACATAATAATATAAAAAAAATGTATTTGTTTCCTTTTCCCTGGCACATCACTTTTGAATTTTAAAACAAAACCAAACGCCGTTTTTGTAATGATTTGTGCCATAAGTCCCGATATTTGTACTTCTGAACTTTCTAAGATACTTCCTTAAGGAGTGCTGGGAAAATAGTTGCACCCTCATTTTCGTACTTTGAAATTGAAATCATGCCATTGTTAATTTATTATTTAAACAATTATTAGTAATTATTAATAGTTTATTTTCATTTTCCATGAGGATTTAAATTTTTAAAACATAATTATAGAGATATTCATTCTGAAAAAAGCAAACCAAAAAAGCTTTTGAAATTATTCTATTTATAATATTGTTTGTTTTATGTTTGTACTAAATATTATAATTTATTACATGATTATGAGAACGCAATATAATATATAAATAATTTGAATATCATAATGCAATAAATGAAAAATATATTCTTACAAACATATTCTCATATGATACATATTCTTCAATTTACCTTTTTCATTTTGCCTAAAAATAAATATGATTTATGTAAAAATAATATCATATAATAATAATATATTGCAGAAGACTTAGCAGTCTCTTTGATTTTTATTTATAGTATTTGTGCTTATAAATTCAACCAGGAGCTCATGTTTCACTTTGAGTGCTTAAATTTTGCAGTATATTGTATATGGACTATGGAGAATACTTTCTAAGGTGCTCTATTTATTTCATTTCTATGTTAAATAGCTTTTTCTGACTCTTAAAAACGTTTTCAATCATTGAAAGTTAATTTTTTGTTTACCTATATTAATACCATAATTATTCACAAACCATTTTGAAAAATTAGAACTTAAAATTACTTGAAACCAAAATTCACTGCAATCAGTTCAGTAATACTACACTGTGACGACCAGTCAATAATAAGTAATTAATAGTGGTAAACTTACTTTACCACTATTGTAGCTAAAATAATATAATGCATATGTACCTATATCATCTTAACCGTTAAAAAAGGTATTATAAGAGTAGGTTAATAGGTTTTTAAATTAGAAACTAAACTTTTACAATACAAAAAATCAAATTACAAAATAAATAATTATTTATTTACATGTATATAATAACAATTCAAATTACAATTGGTATTGAGCTGAATCAATTAGAATAAATAATAAAAATAAAATGTATATTTGGTTTTGAATTTCATGGTGTTTTAGATTCGAAGTGTAGCGAGGAATTTATTAGTTTTACAATGATGTTTTTTTTTTTTTTTACAATGTAGTACAAAATATCTACCAGAAATTCTGTTCCAACCACATTGGTGTAATTGGTGTAATAGAAAAAAACATGTTCAAAAATGAAAAAATTAAAATTATATTATATTGTCAATGCTCCAATAATGAAAATATAATTTATTACAATTAACTATCATAAATGAAATAAAAATTAATCTATTTTTAGGTTTAAACTTTTGAGTCGTCATATTTATATTTTTTGAAATAAGTAATGGAATGTTTTAGTTATTAAGTATTAAAAAGTAAAATATTACTTTAAAATTATCAGTTCATAAATCATTATCTACTTTAAATATTTTAAAATAAAGAACAACAGTGAAATGGTTATGAGTTTAAATTCTGAATTTCGTATACTAATTGTAAAATATTATGTCATTTAATTCATAGTTTTTAATAATATATACCTATGTAAGAAAAATTATATAGATTTTTAATGTCTTTTATTTTAATAATATATAATAATATGATTGTGTCAAAATATTTTTTGTGTTTCTAATGTTAGGGGTGTGACTGTGTGGGGTTCAAAACCCCAGGGGTCAGTGCTTCTTGAGTAATTTTTGAAACTCCCGACATTATATCAAAATTATGCTACGACTTCTGTGTATAAAATATAGTACCTTTCCTGAAAGGAAATTTTATTTAATTGATCTAATTTAGGGAAGTAAATTATTTGATTTTCCAATCATTTTACATAATTGTTGAAAAAATAGTAGGGAAAAACGGACAAATATTTATGACCCGCGGCATAATGTTTTTATGATTTTACATTTTTGTAACTTATGTTTTCTACTAGAAATTTAGCTTCAATTAAAAATAACGAGCAGTCGTTGTTGTTGAATTTTTAATCTAGTTGGTGAGTAAGAAAGTCATTTTTTAATTTTCCGTTAGTTTTTTTGTTAATAAGATAAAACTGAAAAAAAAACGTAGAAAGAACACAACATTTTTACGAAAATAATTTATTATTTTCAATTTTGTTTTTAGTTATAATTCAATCGAAAATATTCGTAGATACTTGAAATCTATACAGAAAACTTATATTGGTCTTTTATAAACGTTGTACAATTTTCAAAATATTCTAACTATTTTTAGGCTATTTATAAATATTTTACATTTTCGTATTTTATATGTACTTATTTGATAGGTATCTGCTATTAAAATTATATAACTTAAGAAAAATGCTTTGAAATTTAACCCAAGATACATTATAAGTTGTATTTAGTGATTTAAAAAACAAATTTGAATTTAATGAATTAGTTTTTTTTTTTTCATATGTGTTTTAAATTCAAATTTTAATGAAAGTCGTAAATATTATGGCTTTCAAAACCTTATTTAACCTAAATTAGCTCTAAATTATTTTTCGTTAGAAATGATTTACCGTTGCTTATGAATATAAACTAAGTAACTTAATATATCTTATCTTCTTAACTTATCTCAACTCCTATAAGAATGGCACACCCGTTCCCAGTATCAGCACTTTGTTCTTATAATAGTTTTTATTTCCTTTTAGTTTTTTTTTTCGTGGTTTTTCCTTGTTTTTTTTTTTTGTCTGTCTACTGACCAAAATGATTGATATCATTAAATGAAAAATAAAATTCAGTTTATGTTCATTATTTAAATAATACAATTGTGTATGGTATTAGTGTATTAGTGACAAGAGGATTCCAATGAGACTTATAAGTACGTTTTTTGTATTTCTTTTCAACTGTAAAATATATCAGAGAATGAGTGTAGCGTAAATGAAAATGTTTAGGTGGGTGATATTAAGAGTGATAAGAAGAGATATGATAAAGAATGAGTACATAATAGGCAGCTTAGACGTGACTTCAGTAGTAGACAAACTCAGAGAATATATAGACTGAGATAGTTTGGCCATGTCACGAGAAGAGAAGAATCTTAATTAAAAATTAAAAATTGTAATGAAAATAAACATAGGAGGAGAGAGGGGAGAGGAAGAAAAAAAAATATGTGGTTAAGAATGATATGAGGACGGCGGTTGTTTAGATAATGATGTGGGGGATAGATTCAAATAGAGGTTTATGGCGAAAATGGCTGACCCCAAATAGTTGAAGTTATAGTTAAGACGAAGAAGAAGAGTGTAAGGTGGATTTTTATATACCTATCATTCAATATATAAATTGGTGAATATACGTAGGTTACGTGGGAAATGCAAAAGATATGAAATATAATTATTGTAATACTTGTAATCCATAGTTTTTGAAAGAATATTCTCATGTTGAAATTCAAACTATTTTGTTAGACATTGATGGAAAATATAAATATTGCACAAAATCTCGCTTGAGTATCTAGCGATAAATCAAATCAATCTTTTAATAAAGTGGTACAAAGTAAAGTTTAAAAGATTCGTAGGTAATAGGTACAACAACAAATCTAATTAAAAAATCTAAACACTGCTTTCAAACTCAACTTGATATTAATATAACAAATATTAATTGTGTTAAAATGCTCAAATCTAAGTCAAACAAGGTAATGGAAATAATCAGATATTTTTTTTAAAAGTTCCCAGGAATACGAAAATTTGGTTGTTGTCACAACATTGGTTTGATATATTTTTAGATATATATACGCGAAATTTCTAGGAAAAGATTATTATTATTATTATTTTTTTTTTTTTATTTAATTAACTCTATGGTATATGAAAACCAATATATTACATACCTATATATTATATAATTCATGTATAAAAAATAAACCTATTACTATCATTCATTATTAAAACATTTTTAACACATTTTAATAATTATATAAAAAATTACATTTAAACTTTAGTACGAACATTAACATCAATATTGTAATACACAGAATAATTATTTGAAAATAACTAGTTTAATATTGCTTTTAGTGTGAATATCTTGTACCTCTATAATTATGTTACATAAGCACTAATCTGTGTGGAAACCAATAATAAAATATTGATATTTAACAATATTTTTTTCAAGAATTAATTATAATATAGTAGTTAATTAAACGAAAATTGTTACTCATTTAGAGAATATCTTTATAAATGAATTCACATAATATAGTTTTTAAAAGGTAAGTGCAAAACTTCTCAAAAAACACGGCTGTATTTTGGAAAGTTCAACAGCACAGTTATTACACAAATTTCGGGACAAAAAAGGGCTCTAAATTTTGTTTCAAAATTAAAAATTGGGAGTTCTAAGGAAATGGACTTAATTGTTTATACATTTGTACCCTAAATTGAAATCGTTAATCCGTAATTTAATGTAATTAAATAGTATTGTTGTCACCGCTTGTTTATTAATCTGGAAGCTATTATTTTTATAAAGGTTTGCGCTAAAAAAACAAAACGATTTAGCTGAAAACTTTGGCTCCTCTGAAAAATTTAACAGACAACTATTTTGGGCATCTTTAGCAAGTCAAGGTGATGAATGTGGTTGACTTGCATAATCAGTATAATCAAGGAATTGACCATCACAAGCTGTAAAGATGAAGATCTACTTTGTACAACTGGTTGGAATGGTTGGATAATAATATACCTACTTAATATCTTCATTGACCTTATATTTTTATATTTATTGATTCATATTTCATTTAAAGGAATGATAATACTATTAGAAATCAATAAATGGGAACATCCAAACATGCATATAAATTACAATATAAAAACAACAGAAAAGATTACATCAATAAGATCTACAACATTGTTAGTTGGGATGAAGTATCTAGACGTTATGCAGATGCTGAACAACAAAAATGTAATACCTTCATAAATCCTTACCTTAATAATACCTTCATAAATCGTAGATTAATAGAAACCATAACAGGCACGTCCCTGAGAGGGGAGCGATGGTGGTGATCACCAACACCCCCCTCCAAGAGAGTAAACATACATTGGCATTTTGCATAGTCATAATCGGAAATTTACAAAAATAATTTTTTTTTTATTATTTTAAATTGAGTTATTTGTTGTAATTTAGTTAAAAATATTCGTAAAGACTTGAAATTTGGGCAGAAAATATATGTTTGCCTATTTTCACGCGGTAAAACTGTAAAATCATTTAAGCCATATTAAAGCTTATACATAAACACTTTAATTTTGAGAATGATTTTTATTTGGTAGGTACTCTATGGATAAAATTGTTAGACAAAACCGAAATGCTTGAAAATTGAACAGGAGGTTAATTATAAGTCGTTCTTTGCGGTAAAAACAAAACAAATTAATTTAATCTAGTATATTTTTTTTATAAGAATTTTATTATCAAATTTCGACAACAATTGTTTTAGTAAAAAATTATGTGGAACAAATCTAGTAGCTGGACCATACAATTGTTTTAATATAATATTTATTTTCTGTAATATAACATATTATATATTATTAAAAAAGCAATACTATCAGCCGATCTCCACTGAGAATTGTTTTTCTTTAGTAATGATTAATGTTTGCTTACAGATATACATACAATTTCCCTCTATATGCTATTTTCTTAATTTCTCCCAACTTTTCATCTACAACAGTGGTCTATCTATCGTGCAAAGTATGTCCGCCTTTTTTTCTTATCAATCATTAATATTAAATTTACTTCTTTCACCGCCACCACCCCTCCCCCTTCCAGTATTCAAGATCTGGAGACGCTTCTGGAAACAATAGCTAACGTTTTTTTTACATAGGACAAGTACAACACACATCTTTTGATCATCCGTTATTCGTGTCATCATTGTTCCTTTTATCTTCTATTAATCTCATTTTTCAATTACATTTTTACTATTATTTTTGAAATTCTTTTTTCCAACAGAGTTTTTTTTGCTTTAAAATTAGTTATGCAAAACTCTTTGAAATAGTTCACATATTTTTAGTGGGTATATTAGGCAATAGACCTTATAACTTGTTAGAGAACATTTGTTCATTTTCAAATACTTTTTAGCACTGATGACATTTGATAATAATTTTGTTTTTTAGAAATTCTTCGTTTCTCTTCACTTTGTTATTAAAGGTACCCTATTTACACGTCCCGGTATCAACTTATCCGCTAATGCACTTAAAAATTGGACCTATTTAGTCTTATATTTTACTCAGATTTTATATTTTCCAGACTTTAATTTTTTAGCAGTGTTTATTTTAAATAAAATACATTACATATTTTGTTATCGTTTTCTTCTTACTACTTTAATTTTATACTATTTTATACTAGTTTTCTTACTTTTCTAGATAATATGAATATATTCTACAATATAATCGTGTATTAAAATATAATAAGCTGTTACACATTTCAAATTTTCCGAGGCGTCTATTTCCAAATTTATACCGACTGAAGAAGCTGTTGCCGAATCATTTTTTTTTTCAAACTATCAATAACGAAAAACGGCCCCCTTTTCAAAAATTGTGTAAAACTTAACATAGGATTTTGCTCCCCATTTTCATAGTAAGACTCTTGGAACGATGTATAGATATAATAATGCATAATTTTTAGTTAACGAAATCTAAATTTAAATCAATATACGGATAAATAACATAATTCAAATATACTTTTACGTTTGTTAAGTTGCAATACTCGAATTCGCAGGGGCAGATTGAGCTGATCTTCCAGTGGGGGGGGGGCAAAATTCGAACTTTAATCATACTTATAAATTGTTAGTTATAAAAGTATATATCTATAAACGGCAGTGTTTCAGATTATAAATAGATCAGTAGTTCAACATTTTTCGATTGTTTCGCTTGCTGAAAATTTGAGTGATAACTATTTAATAACCCAGTTTAATAACTATTTTTAGGAATTGAGGACAATAAAACCTCGAAAAAAAAGCCCTAAACCAAAAACCACATAAAAAAAATAAGCTGCGACGTAGGAAAAATAAGCCCCGACGAAGTAAAAAAAAGTCCCAGGGAAAAAATACAGTTATTGGCATCAGAACATTTTTTTATAGGTATTGAAAAGAAGGCCTGGAAAAAAGTCCCATGGTAAATTAATATAATACATTTAAAACATAATAATTGCAAAAATAATTAGGCAGTTATTCAAAAACATGATTTACGTATATTATTTCGGACATAACCGTTTTTGACCAAAATTGTATCCTCCCCTTTTCGGCTAAATTTAAAAAAAGTCCATTCCCTTTTCGACCAAAATCGTACCCTTCGCATTTCAACCGATTCAGTTCACTTAATATAGTTATTGCATTTTAAGGTTTAATTTTAAAAGGTAATGAACTAGACTTACTGACAAATTCAAACAAAATATTTTTTTTTTTAATTATAATAGTAAATGTAATAAAATATAATTCTCTTTTTTTATAATTTTTAATGCATATAAATATATACATACAATATATATAACACATATTCATATTTGAAACTATAAGTAAGTATATGAAATGTTAATATAAAAATACATAAATAAATCCTTTTTATATGTATAAATTAAGCATTCATTTTGAATATTTTATACTTTTAAATATATATAACATGCTTAGTAACTTAGTATTGTTTTGGCCGAAAAGGGAAGGGTACGATTTTGGATTTCGGTCGAAAAGGGAAGTGAACGATTTTGGTTATTTCCTACTTTTGTTGGAAATCTATTTCCGCTCAAAAAAGTTAACATTTTTAAAATTTTTGATTAATAATAATAAAATAAGTAAGTATCTACACATACAAACCCAACAAGGCCCAGGGAGGAGCGATCGCCCCTATTGCCCCCTCTTGTATACGCGCCTGCAAATTTGCTATATCTTCGCTATTTTTCTGTAAACCTATAATAACGTATAGTGGTTTTTCCAGTTTGGAAGCGGTTTTCAAATTCCAAACAACTTTTTTCGAGTTACCAAGTTCCGGATATTCATATAATCATATTATGTTTCATGTGACCTAAATGGTATAAAAAGCCTTTTTTTCATTTTCTATGTTTTTCATTATCATCTACGCTCACATATGAGACTTTCCAAATTATTTTTTAATGTCTAGTACAGCAGCAGTTGTTGATAATGCTGTTCCCGCGATAAAAAAAAAGATTACACCACACAGATCGTTCCGGTACTGACAAGCATACGATAATAATAATAAAACTAAAATATATAATGAAAATTTTTTATATAGGTATACAGCTACCAGGATACTTTTCCAACAATGTGCATTTTCACGACAACAACGATTGTATAAAAAAGATTAAGAGATTAAAATAAGAAAACTTTAATAATAACGAAAAATAAATAAAAAATGTTAAATAACAAAAAAAAAGTTGATATTGGGGATGGGCGTGGCCTCTATTGTAGGTAGACATTTGGGAAGATAGTGTATTGAGGATAATTTAATTTATATCTGTACGCAACGATTAATCATTGCAAACGAAAAACAATTCTAAGCGGAGCTTAGTTAACACTCGTAGTATTGCTTTTCCAACAATGTGCATTTTCATGACAACAACGATTGTATAAAAAAGATTAAGAGATTAAAATAAGAAAACTTTAATAATAACGAAAAATAAATAAAAAATGTTGACAATAGCAACCTTATTTTTAATTGTTTAATCTTTTTTAACCTAAAAATCAGATTTTTCCGCATTATGATAATATTTCTATATTATGAGAATTTCAAAAAATTACTTTTCAAGTACCTACTAGAGCCAAAATATGACAAAAAAGGTCTGTTGTCATTTTTTGATTGGAGCAAATGTATCTAGGAGAAAATTTGCTTACAGACAGAAAAAATAAAAAAATACGCATAATAGTAAAACCAACGGATCTCTCACTTCATTTAGAATCTAAAAATTATACTACTAGAAAAACCATAACACGACTTTCATACTCACCAACTTGATCTAAAATGCACCAAAGCTTCTTTCTTGTTGTTTTTTGATTGGCGCTAGATTTCTGGTAGAACACATAAATTTAATCATCAAATAAATCTATATTGTAACTTATAATATATAATAATAATATATTACCTACTCGGTTTTTACAAAATTTCAAGAGGCGCTTTTTTAAAAGCAAATTTTGTCGGTACATTGAGAAAAAATATTTTAATTTCCTTTGTAGTTTACGGTGGCAGATGCTACCGACCCATGTTATGGGACCCTAGTACACAATTCGCGGTTTCGATGACGTCGTCATTGTAGGCTCCTCCCCACGGCGTAGCCAACGTCGCTGTCAAAGACTAGCAACTCCGTGCCGGCCGGTATAATTTTATTAGTTAAAGTTCAGTTAGACACGTTTTAAAAGACCGTAATATTAACGGTTTTCGCCAAAATTTGATATTAAAATACTTACAAAAAAAAAAAAAATAAATACTACATTAAACTCAATTTTTCTTTTCGACCAATTATTATGAAAACTGCTTAGAAAATTAAAAAAAAAATTACCTCACTAAAGTTAACACTCCCAATAGGTAACTACTAAATAGTTACTATAAGTGTAAATTTTAATATTATATTATAGCTTTAAACAATTTTGAAAATACCTAAAATACATTAATGAAGGTGTTTGATTATTAAAAAAAATTAAGGCCCCTTTCTGAATTTTCATCCCGAGTGCCTTTGCCAAGTAGATAAAATTTCAAAATAGATGCTACACTTGATACATAGGAGTAATATTTCCTGTAGAAAAGTTGCTCATAGACACACACACACACACACACACACAAAACATACATTATAGTAAAACTAAGAAATCCCTCATTACGTTCTGAATCTAAAAAAAAATTAAATATAATAAACCGTTATTTAATTCTTAGACTTTCCCGTTTATCTCAGATATTAAGGCAATTTAAAAAGTTTAAAATAATATATAATCAACATTATACCTATATGTCATATTTTTAACAAATACATTTTAGAATACACGTTCAATGTGCACTCAAATGAAATAGTATACGTGTTGTACTGGTATTAAAAAATTAAATTATGAGATTATGCATTAAATATGATGATTTATTTAACAATATATATGCAATATCAATGATTCATTATAATTTCTTATACTATCCGGAACATTAAACCTATAAGTTATGATAATGTAAAAGTCGATTTAATGGTATTAATTTGTAATAAATTTAATATATTTTCAGATTTTGAGTGAAGAGAGAAATGTATTGGTTTAACTATAATGTTTTTTTTAGTGTTGTCTAACGACTTTTCTGCCAGAGATCTTGATTCATAAATCATTAAGCAAGAGAACTGAAATTTTCTCCAAACAGTAGGACTTTCTAGACATGGTATGGTTTTCAAAATATATCCTCGTGACTTTTGAGCTATCGACTTTTTAGAATCGTTTTTTTATTCACAATGATTTATCGTTACAAGTACATATACATATAAATTGAATTATTCTAGATATTATCCTACCTTCCTAATTTCCCACCTTTAACAGTAGCATATCCAGTAGAAGTTTATTTTTGTCTGTCAACAATTATTGTCTACCAGAAATCTTATTCTGATCAAAATCCGACAAGAAAAGTTTTTATAACAAATGTTGTTTATTAAGTTTTGTTGGTTCATCGGAGTGGTAATTTAATTTCTATTTTACTGTCGAACATGAATACAACTTTGTTAATATATAAGTATTTAATCGGTTTAAACTTATTTTTACAGTATAAAATTCTATAAATTGAAATTTAAAATAAAGGCTCCGGTCGGTTGTTATCACTGTAAAGTACACGGTTTAACCGGTCGAATGACCGAGGGAGAAGAGAAAATATAATGATTATGTACATAACTATTCGACTAGTTGTAAAATATTGTATTAATTATTATCAGGTAGGTATACGAGTGTATAGAACAGCGAATGTACCTAAAATAGTATTATACGTTCGATATTTTCATATCACAATGAATGCAATTTACGTATAGTATACTTACTACAATTTTACCGATTCCATAGTCTGTATGTCAATCGGGGTCATCGCTAAAACCGAGACCTGATAAAACTTAAAACGGTTTTTGGAAACCGTCGGTTCCGTCGGCTCGATATAATCCAATCGTTTAAAAACTTGTTATCTGTTTGCCTTGTTTGCACATGGAGTTGTTATAATAATTATATAACACTAATAATATTACTTTACCCGATCGCATCATACTCGCACAAACGTGACGTGGAGATCGGTCACCTCTCTATCTCAACAATAGTACAAAACCGTAACGTTATATTATTTTCATCGATCATCTGTGAGTCGCGACCCGACGCAGATTACAGCCGATATTATGCGTAGGTTGGGAAACAAGTCGACGCAGAGAACATTATATTATTTTATTACTGTAATATTACAAAAATAGCTATTCCACGCGACTTTGGCCGTGCACATTATTGGGCGCAAAAAAAAATGTTAAAAACCAAACCGCGTTTCCCCGTCCTTATCGCGGTTAGCGTGTGATTACTCCTCGTTTCCACCCCCGTCACAATGAACCGTTATTGTTGCCCGGTAATTTATTATTTTTTTAAACGGGTACTTATTATACTCTATAATCCGTGACAATCGAATGAACCTTATGATCGATTTTTTCGCAGATCGAACCTACAATTATTGACGAAAACAATTCAATTTTCATATAATAAAAAACACCAAATTCCCCGCGTGAACCACCTTTTAGGGATAGAATCTAGGAAACCCGGACCCGTTCGTCCGCCTCTGTATAATATTGTATGTTTTCAGAGATCTATAGGTTCGACTGTGGTCATTCGCACGAGCCGACGCACTAGATAATATTATTTAAAAAACGTTGGTAGGTACGAATCATGTTTTTTATTTTGTATAGCTAACACAACACCTCCTGTTTGCTATAAACCTTCGCTACTTCGCTGAACGCAATATAATAATCATCATATTATTAGAGACCAATTATTATAATTGTTTGATATGTACAGCAGATTTAGTCTAATTTCGTGTACAATCAGTATTACCGCAACCTTATAGACACAGCAGCATCATCGAGTAGGGGGATCGAATACAATTTTATCACTAGGTCTCTCTGTTACGAAATTAAAATAACGACATTGTATACGCGATTTCTCGTTTAATTAACACGTGCACATCATTTTTATCAGCCTACCTGGTAAGTACGCCGCATTTAATTTTTTAATATTTCCAAAATAACATTACATCCGCCTCTTTTACTCCGCTATAATACCATAGATTACGGGCGAGCTTGAAATCCTTGGCGAGCGTATAATGCAATAAAACTATATGAATACATTTTCATATTAACTAATTGAAACGCAAAATATCTATTGGCTTTTATCTTAAATAGTTTATTGTATTACGATGTGTAGGGTATTTCAGTATAAATTTAACGTTGTTTAAATGTTTAATATTTTACCCGTCATTGCCGTTTGCCGTTGTTATAACTTAGTAAAATGATAAAAACGCAATACCACGAACGAGATACAAACATATTATTAAGAACAGAATTATAATTTGAAATAATACGTAATATTAACTACATTAATTATTATTATTGTTACTATAATTATCATTGTAATAATAATAATATTATAATCATTGGATAATAAAAATAGTAATAAGTAAATAATAAATTAAATTACTAAAATTAAACACACCTAAAATTAAATAATTATTTCGTTTTGTTCTCGTTGTGATATTCAGGGTTTTTTATGTTGATAATTTCCAAAATTGAAGACCTATCATCGAGAAGTTCAGTGTAAGTTACTATATTTTCAAAAATCGTTTTTACATAAATTGATAAAACTCAGTGTTATTGAGATGCTTACTTCATGCATTTATTGTACTCACATTAAGTACTCCGAAAATGTACAATATTAGGTACTAAACATGCACATACACCGATCTAAATATAAGTAAATATTCTATTCGGTTTTTACCCTTTCCTATATGTGTTTTTTTTTTTTTTTTGCAACTTACACCGATTTCTTTGATAGGTCTTTAATTTTTAAAATTATATCTATTTTGTATTTTTAAAATTAATTTCATGGTGGGTATTCTTGGTATTTGTAAATGAACACTGTTCAAATATATTTAGAATACTTGAGTACATTGTATTCAAATAATTTCTTTTAAAAATATTTTAATACAAATATTAAACACGAATATTTTTTTTTTTTTCATACAGCAGTAGGTATTTACAGTTTAAGTATTATAAATATCAACATTTTTCATGTAAAAATTATACGAACGATTAGATAGGTATGTTATTTTACCTACCTTATAAACGTACACTAAAAAATAAACTCTAGCATTTAATCAAATGCAAATATTACGAATTCATTAATAATAATAAATAAATATTTACTTTAAAATAAATCTCAAATCCGGAATTTCATCAAATAACTGTCTTATATTCAATATGTAATAACATCAGTTTCATATATTTAAGTGTTTAACGTTAAATTTAAATTTGACTAATACAAATAGTTTTGATTTTAATAAATAGCAATTATTAACATATAGTGTTACTTTACATACTTCCTAACGTAATACCGAATTACTCACACCAATAATTATTATATGCATGATTAGTGCCTACGTAATACTTCGTGTTAGTATCAGTTATGATTAATAATTGGACCACACTGCGGATCTAAACAATTTAATAGTCCCATTAAAAACACACAGGCATAATATTTTTTTTAACGATCATATTTTGTTAAAATATGACAACTTATAAACTAAGAGTTAACTACTAATAAATGTATTTGATAAGAATTAAAGATACATATAACATACGTCATTAATAAGCGTATTGGAATCAGGGGCGTAATTTGGGCTAGATCAGAAAAGGGGGAGAAGCGGAAAATGAACAATTTTATAAAAGTATGCCACGAATTTATTAGCTAAGACTTGTTTACATTCAAACAAAAAAAAATAAAAAAATAAATAATTGGTAGATAGCTATTAATTATTATCGCTATTAATATTAATAACAAAATAATTACATAATAACAGATCTACTCTCCTTGGCTTCAGAGTAATTTCATTCGACTGCATCCTTTGGATATATCTATGGACTGTAAACATAATCAATCCATTTAATTGATTCTAATAAACAAAATATTTAGCTATTAGATAGATACATAATGATTCGGACCAGGACATTTCACTATCAGTAATTGAACAGTAGTTTTGAACATAGGAAGGGTTAAAAGGGAGGGGGTCGACATTATTTTACTAAACAAATGTACAGTAGAAACTCGATTAATCGTCACTCTCTATTATCTTCCGTCATCGTCGAAAAAAAACCTATTAATGCAGCGATAGCAGTAAACTCGATTACCGCGTGCTTATCTTTATCTTAAGAAGAAAATTACGGATTATTTTGTTTAGTATGTATGTATGTTTATATTATTTTTATAAGAAAATATTCACGTTGTAAAATATATGTGTATAAAATACATACGTTTATTGCATTTGTTGACCGTCAAAGTCCCGGTTCCGACAATTACAGTCATTCGAGTTTCTACTTATTTATGTTGAAATTGATGGTATAATGTAAATTGGACTGTTGAACTTAGTTGTTTTTAGTTATAACTAGGGCCCGGATGTTGCTGCATTTGCAAATTTTCTTCTACAGCTCCAATTTATTGTTTAGTGAGTCTTAAATGCGTTGCGTGTAATTACGAATTAAAATATAAAAGTTTAAAGTACAATTTTATGCAATTTTCGTAATTTTTTTTACGTAATTTTATGTACCATATATAATATACATATATATATCAATATTGATTAAATTACTTATTGACATTATTGAATGTATATTCGCAACGATAGTTTGATTATTTTTAGAATTGCGTCTGTCGTGTCCTACTGCGACCATTGGATTTGTCGTATTTACAATGCATAATGCATAATGCATATCTATTCGTAGATAATATTTTTATGAAACGTGCTCATTTGAAAATCTGTTCTTCAATCAGTCAGTGAATTTCGTGTGACGACGTGGCATGTAGACACTAGTTCTTTTATTTTGTAGATACGCCGAAAATTAGGCCAAAGTTTCCTATTTTTTAAAAAATACATTATTTTTTAGATGCAATTTTCGGTATTTTTTAGTGCAATACAGAAATAAATTGTGTTACGTTTTGACTACTTCAATATCCGTGCCCTTTTAATAATACTTTGAAATCAGTAGGTGTGTATATTATGTTAAATAACTCAATATTACATTGGTTGTCGTAGTCTAGTGGCGATGCCTGTTGTCTATCCAGAGGTGTCCCAAGATCCAATCAGTGTTCTAAAAGTTTTCTTTTTTTACACTTTTTTCCAATAGAATAATTGTCCTAGGTACTGTTTTAGATGTTTAAATTGGTATCCCATACTATAATAATTATTGCAAAACACATTTTTTTACAATGTGATCTACCCGACGTGATTCTATACAACGAATCGAGGGTTTTTATCATTTTTTTAAAAAAAAAAGGAAATCCTTATATTAGGAAAAATTGCCGAACTTTTGTAGTGTCCAGAAAACTACCAGAAACCGAAATTGATGTTAAATTGTATAATGTCTAGAAAGTCCTATATAGAACTTATAAGAACTATTTCTCCTGTCATTTATCGGCAAAACATTCACGTGACAGAATGTATGAGTTCAGAAGAACGAAATCTTATGTAATACACGTGATACGACTGCCAGGCAACTATCAATTCCGGTCGCACGTGTCGTCCATCGCTTTCATCACAGTCGTATCGCAATCGCGTTGTTAGCTGATCTACATTTGTTTTGCTAGAAAAGGATGTTTGTGACGTGTTAATCGCGTAGTGTGTGGAGGGCCTTAAGAAAATGTTTTAATGAAGATCGGGAAAATAATATAACAGTGAAGATTATTATAAATTTAACTAATTTTATAAAATAGTTAGTAGTCGCAAATCACAATAACAGGATTGATATGCTTTCAGTAACTAGTTAAATTAATATAAGGTAAGTAGTAAAACAGGAAAGTACATTATAATACTATGATAGGTATTTTCATTTAAAATGAGCTCTCTTGAAATTTGACAAAAAATATCTATCCACACCGTCAACCCTTTCTAGTTCAAAACTACCGTTAAGTGACTAGCGGCGAAACGGTCGCAGCGAAATGTCCTAGAGCCTAGGATATTTCGCTCTAGGACCTAGTCCCATAATGATTGTGTAGTATCCTCGGCCATCATATTCGTCAAGTACTTAAGTATATTTTTATTTGCTTTAAAAGTAAAGAACATGCGTTTAGGCCTAGTGTTCGGTACAATTAATGTATAGAATACCCACTTAAAAAAAATTGAATATAAATTTGTATGGCATCGATATATAAAAGTAATGTAAAAAAAATAAAATATATTATAAAACAAAAATAGGCGGAAAGTGAGGGAATATTTATTACTTAATTACACCTTAATAAGATATGCGTCCCAATCTCTTAAATGTCAAAAGCCACACATTAAATTAGAAAAAAAACAAATTATAACTTTTGCTATATTATACCTACCTATAGGTACCTACCTAAAATTTTACTGTTGGTCAGAGCATTTGCATAACATTACTTGTGATAAAATGTACCTATTCTATATTAATGTTGCATTAAAATATTTACAATATAAGATTAAATTAACTTATCTATATTTGATATAATATTAATACAATACTTATATAAAACTCATCGACAAAAGCGATAACAGAATTTATTTTATTAATAAAAATAATATTAGTGTTTTTGATTACGAGCAGTCGGTCATTTGAACTTTGCAAGTCACAACGCAAATCAATCCAGAACGACTTTGATTTACAACAAAATTCCATTTATTAGACTATCAAAACTATAAGTACACACAATATGGATCAAATTTATTGGAATCGTCGTACTTGTGTCATTTTAACCGGTGGTAGCAAAGGAATAGGACGAAGTTTGGCCGTAGAACTCAGTAAAATATTGGTTCCAGAATCAAACATTATTCTTCTTGCTCGGGATACAGATGGTCTTGAAAAAACTAAAGAAATGGTGCATAAAGAAAATGGGAAAATTTCTGTCGAGGTAATAAAATTAATCATATAGGTATACTTATTTTAATTTATTTAAAGGTGCTGTATTTGTAAACTCGGGTTGGGTTAGGTTTTTATTGTGGTGGAAGTACCGACATTTTGAGGAAAGTGACAATTAATAATTAAATTATTAAAAAGGATATTAAGATAGTGACATAGTAGGTTATTAATATATTTCTCTATGTTTTAGAATAAGGAATAAGTACATAAGTGGTAGCTTAGAGGTGACTTCGACAGTAGACGAAATGAGAGGAAATAAACTGAGATAGGCAGGTCATTAAGAGACAGGAATCTTAAGTAGTAAAAATTGTAATGGTAATAATGAAGAAAGAGAGGGAAATGAAGACCAAAAAAAAAAAAGCGGTTGGATGCGATTGAAAATTATCACTGTATATGTATATGCGGTTTTTAAAATATTTACAATATATAAAAACATAATTTTTAGATTCTGAGCGGTGGACGAAGATGTTTATGGTTTTACAATGATATTTATTTATTTTTTCTGTGGACAGCTTTTCTACTAGAAATTTTGTCCTAATTTACAATGATAGCACTTTTTCTAAAAGAAATTCTGACTTGGAAGTAACTTTAAGCAAGTTAAGTTTTGACTTTCCCAGGAGTTTTTCCAATAAATAGGAAAAACGTAGAAAAAATAAGGAAATAAGTACAAAATTTGATAAATTTTATTAAAGAAAATATATAATGTCTATGAAATTATTTTATCATAATATGACATATATAATGTTGTTGACACAGCAACACTATCAACTGAACTCCACTTAGAAACGTTTTTTTGTTAGCAATAGTATATCGTTACTTACAGATATACATTAAATTATCTATATTAGTAGATGCACCAGTCCAAATTATCCTAGGACGGCTTTTTAATATACGAATAAATTATAAAAAGAAAAAACAGACATGCTTCACACAACAGGTGTGCCACTGGTATAGGCGAAAAGTTGAGAAGGTAGAATATAGAGGGGAATTTAATTTATATATGTATGCAAAAATAAACCATAGCCAACGAAAAACGATTCAGAGCGAAGTTCAGTTATACAAGATAATTCATTAAGCGTGCTCACTCCATTTGTTTGCTTAAATTTTGCATTTATTCAAATTCTTGGAATTTTTAAGTGTAGTTAAAGTCGATATTTTCGAAGACTTAGTTTAATCCATAAATAAACTGAGTATTAATTTAAATAAATTTTGAAATTAAAATTTTTGATTTCCGTCAACCCGTTGACGATATATTTAAGTTACTTTTAAGTTTAGGTAGAGGTAGAATAGTGGAACACTAATAAAACGCCCTGCGCCGTACCGTGTTGCCACACAAATGACGCTTAACTACTTTCCCACTACCTAAATTTGAAAGTGAAACATAATAATATCGTCAACGGATTGATGGAAATCAAAAAATTTAACACCAACATCAATTTAAAGTAATACTCCGTCTATTTATGGAATTTTTAATATATTTGGAAAACCAAAGTTGGTATCGTCACAAGATACTTCTTAAATGTTGTGAAAAATCCAAGTATTCGAAAATATCGGCTTCAACTACACTTGAAATTTCCAAAAATCAGAATTAGAACATGTACACAATTTAATCAAAAAAATGGAGTGAGTACGCTTAGTAAATCACCCTGTAGATGTTTTGAATATTGGCGATTTGCGTCAAAATTTGATATTAAAATTCTTTAAAAAAAAAATACTACATTAAACTTAATTTTTTTTTACTACAAGGTACGACTTACAATATTTGATTACCTTCTTTTTAATGAGTATGCATTTCTGTTAAAAACGTAAAAAACTTGCAACATTTAAATGTTTATAAATAGCTCAAAATACCACAGATGTTTTGAAAATTTTACTACGTCTAGACAAAGAAAATATGAGTTCCCTGTTCAAGTTTCTATGAAAATTTTTAATTGAATTACAATAAAAACAAAATTTAAAATAATAAAAGCATTATTTTTGTAAATTTTCCCGGTTTTCCTACTTTCTCCCGATTTTCCCATTTGTTATAAAAATCGCTTAGAAAATCAAAATATGACTTGTATAAGGTATCGAATAAATACAATTTTATTTACTTGATTTTACTTGATAAATATATGCAAAATTTCATATTCAAAAAAAAAAAAAAAATATTAATAGAAGTAAATAAATAAACAATATCATTGTCAAACCAATACATTCCTTACTACATTTCGGATCTAATATGCTCAACTGCAAGTAGATATTTTATTTTGGAACTATATTAAGATACGATATTTTTTGTTTTCAGTGTTTCCAAATTAATTTGTATCACCCCAGTGTATCGACTTTTGAAAATATTTTGAGCCCTGTCGACCATACGAAGTATGAATTATTTTTATTAATCCATAATGCTGGATCAGTTGGTAATTTGGATCATCTTGCAGCTGATATGAACGATATTGAAGAATGGAATAAGTAAATAAAACAATACTGTACCTACCTATTGACTTTAGATAAATTGTGTTTATATGTATTCAATATTAATCTGGATTGAAAAGATAATACATTTTTTAATCAAAAGTCTGTGTTTAAAAATCTTAAAAATAAATAAATCCCAGGGATGATACTACAGTTTTTATTTTCACACAAAATAACAAAATTATTGTTCAAAATGTTTTCAATAGGTAATAATTTCCAGGATAAATGTCTCAATTTGTTACAATTTTTCCATTGATATAAATAATAACCAATAATCGGTAACCAACATATGGTGATCAGTGGTCATTAGCCATGCAAATAAAATAAAAATATGGGGCACTCAAAAAAAAAATAATTAAACGCAACGCTTAGTGAACAAATATTAAACAATAAATAAACATATAATTATAAAATATATAATATGAAAAAAAGGACAGATATACTTCGCACGTAGGTGCAGCCACTTTTGTAGGTGGAAAGTTAGAAAGGAAGGGTACAGATGGGAATTTAATGTTTATCTGTAAGCAACGATAAACCATTGATAACGAAAAAACGATTCTGAGCGGATTTCAGTTGACAAAGCAACACTTTGTCAACAATACATATGTAATATTATGGTAAAATAATTACAACAATGTGCGTTTCCACGAAAACAATAATTTTTTAAAAAAGATTTTAAAATAATAACAAAAAATAAATAAAAACGGTTGCCAATAATATTATTTTTTATTGTTTTTTAACCTAAAGAATCAGGTTTTCCTCATTATCTCGAGTACTAATGAAAATTTCAAAAGATGACCTATCTAAAGTACCACCCAGAGAACATTGCCTTTCAGAAAAAATACTATATTTTATAATCGGAGTATGTTTTCTGGTAGAACAAATGTTTACATAAAAAAAAATTAACATCATTGTAAAACCAATAAATTCCTCGCTCCACAACAAAATAAATAAGTAGCATTGAGGCTTTTAACAACAAATTAAATATTTATGCACAAAAACAATTTAATTCAATTACTCCGTCTACTATTTTTGTGCGGAATAAAATTTATTGAAAAATTTATTATTTTTAGTGAAATACCGTCAAATCGTTTTTAAAATGTATTTTTACAATGACCATTGCATATTTTAATATAATGTGTATAGGTAACATAATGGTCAAAATAATATCCCAAAAATACTTTAGTAAAACAGAGATTATATTAAATAATATTAGAATGACACGAATAAAATTGTTGTGTATTGTATATTGTGTATTAACAGTAACGAAAAATCCGAGATTAAACGGAACGGATTAGAATAAAACGGGACCAAGTGTGTCCCGTATAACTTTCGTTAGGATAACCAGACACTATGTTGATACACGAAACAATCCCATGTAATACGGGACATATGGTATTAATTACTTATTTCAAAAATCTAAATATCAAATAAAGATTTATTTTTGAACGTGCACAAAATAAAATATTATGTCAATATAAGATAATTATTATTTTATATTGTAAAAAATAATATTTCAAAATAAAAATTGGTGATATTTCGATTATTATGTAAGATTTGAAAAAAAAGTTTTATTCTAATTGCCACTCGATAAGTAAATAATTGTAATTTTATTTTTAAATTATTAATAATAATTAAGTACATTAATTAGACAACACCCCTATGTATTGAGTTTAAAATGATTGTAATATCGTGATATTTTATATTGACCAAGTTTTGTAATTAATTTTTATCAAAAATTATACGACGTTTAACCATCATTTTATAAATCAAGACTAATATTGTAATAATGGAGCCGATGGCCTTATTTTACCATGCTTCCAGTGTTTATTAATTTTTATATTTTTAATACTAAAAAACATAACTGTTTCTTATTGCTATTATTTTTGTTCTCATCTTATAATTAATTCGTACAAATCATTTATTTTTTTTAATCCAGGTACATGACATTAAACTTGTATTCTGTAGCTTGTTTAACAAATGTGTTTTTATCCAAATTCAAATCTGATACGGCCGAAAGATGTATTGTCAATATGACCTCGTTATTTGCAATTGAACCGTTTAAATCGGTCGGTTATTATAGTGTTGGAAAAGCCAGTCGAGAAATGTATTTCCGTGTTCTAGCCATAGAAAATCCTACTTTAAATATTCTTAGTTATTCTCCAGGTAAAATATATTGTCTGGGAATTTATTGTTTTTCAATTAAACTAAAACGGTTGGATTTTTATAGGTCCAGTGTTGACAGATATGTATACGCAGCTTAGTTTGAATGCAAAAAATGAAGTATTACGTGAACAATTGACCAGTAAACAGCAACAACAATATATTGTAAAAGTTGAAGATGCTTGTCAAAAGCTTTTTAACACATTAGCCACGAAAAGCTACACAAATGGCGGTAGAGTCGATTTTTATGATAAATAATTATTCCCATTTCAATATTTTTAAATACCAATTATTTCATATGCATGTAAATTATACATTTGTTTTTTATCACTGTTTTTGGAATGTATTTTATTTTTTATTTTTAGTACAACAATAAAATATTATATTCTTAAATAGGTAGTCTTAGTGAAATAAGTGAAAAAATGTAATCCGTCTTCTGAAAAAAATCGATTGTCTTTATTATATTGGAATCAGTAGCGCTGAAGTTAAAAATGAAATATAGGACAAACATATGAAAAAAGATAATTTTGAAAAGATAAAGATTTCATAAATAAAAATCTCCGTATCATCAGCAAATTAGAGGAGCTTGCTGTGATACAAAACCTGAGATGAACTATTGACAAACAAGTATAATAAAATTGGAGATAAGTGACCTTCTTGTGGTACACCAGAAGGAGTCAAGAAAACATCAGAACACACACCAAATACTTTGACTTTAGAATATCTATAACTGAGAAACGAACTAAATTATTATTTAATGTTCTAGTCTTACTTATAGCATATTCGTCCGAAGTTCGGTTATTATTATCTTAAGCTTTTAAAAGCAACGTTAAAACACTATAGCTATAGATACCGATAGTCTGTAACTTTAAAAAATTCCTAATTTTGCTAATGGAAATTCCTGATATTTTTCCTTAATCAAATTTTCCGAACGCCCTCTTTCCTGAATGAAACATACCGCGAATAGTATTTTTTCTGAAACCTTATTTCCCGAACCCCTTTGCCCGAATGTTATTTTTTCCAACTAGTATATTTCTTTTTTACATACTAGCTAGAAAAAATATTTCAGGGAAGGTATTATTCCTGAAATTTTAAACAAGGTTTCCGTAAGAAAACAAAAAGCTAACGAGTCAAAGGTAATGAACGTTTACGCCACACATTTGACAGTATTTCTTATGTTTTTTTCGGTTTTCACAATTACAAAAACTCTAATTCTTAGAAGTTTCTAATTATTTGAAAACAATTTAAATTTAAAAACGGATTAGCAGAAAAATTTAGGTCCCACTTGTTTTCAATGATTTTAAGGTTTTACACATTTTTATTTTTTATAATTTTTTAAATAATAAAAATAATTTTATAATAATAATATATAGGCGGTAGGCAAAATATGTAATCAATATTATTGTACGCGTTTCAAATTAGTTTTTTGAACTATTTCTCATAAAATTAAATAGATTTAATACAATATGTATTATACGCGTCATTAAAAAAAATGTACAGTTGAATATAATATATAGGTATTATATAATGTCTATTATATGGTTATTATATAATTATATAATTATTCAAGATAACATTTTTTAGATAGTAAATAAATATTAATTTTAACATGTACAGAAAATATCTAATAAACATTGCACACAAATTACTTTTTGGTATCAGAATCTTTATATAGTGAAGTTATCATACAAATATAATAACACATGTATTGATTTTCAGTTATCTTTGAGACGTTGTAAATATATAACACAGCGAATGTACTAAAAATGATACGAACTGAATATTAAATATACATCAATCCATCACATTTTCTATATGTGTACCTATAATCACAAATATGTATAAATATTTGTAAAACGTAGTTTAGGCAATTAATTGTTGTTTAATAATTTGAATAGGGAGGCATAAAATATTCAGTAAACGCGACACTTTATTTAAATATGGTATTGAAAACTACCGTACCTACCCAATAGTTTATAAAATATAATAATTTCACAACAAATATATTCGTGAAATATTATGTTATTAGACTGTAGGTAAATGAACATTAAGTAACCTAACAACATGGGCAAATATTTAGATTGAAAATTTGATTGCTAATCGTTAGAATAAGTTCAAAAATAGATACCATTTTTAATTGACGTTGTTTTAATTTATGATCGAAATCTGGTCAGATCACTAATCGTATTTAAGTTTTTCGAAAATAAAGACCCGACGAAAATTTATTGTATAAACCTACTCTATAATCACAATTATTAATAAAATAAGGTAATAATGAAGAATATATTTTCATGCATAAGTTATTATAATAATTTTTATACAGTCGGGAAAACAACAACTAAAAATTTGTTTTGTATTATTCAATTAATTTATGCACATTTAACAGGAGAGGCGAACGAAATTCCAGAGGGGAGCTATCGCTCCTGCTGTCATATACCTGGATTCAACACTGTTCATCTACTTATAAATAAATAAACCTCATGATGCTATTATTATATTACCAATTTGATCAAGCACAGACTATTTAAAAAAGGCATAGGATGATAAATAATTTTAGGGCAAATAACAAAAACTGATTGGAGCAAATTATAACATAATATTAATAATAAAATACTCGTATACAGAAAAGCTTCGTCACTAGAGTCAAATGTTCTCCCATCTATTTTGTATTAAAGAAAAATTCTTTACAGGACAATAAATAACCGAAAACTAGTAAAAACGTCGTACAAATGATATGGGGTAGGGTAAAGTTTCAAACCCTTAAAAGACATATCCTTGATACTTATACCACGTATATTGTATATATACAAAATTTCAACTATCTGAAATCATTTGGGGGGGGGTCTGTAGGGGTGTAAAAAGCTAAAAAAGACTCCCCTCCTCTCATAACAACATAGTGAAAATCATGTAATTAAAATTCAACCAACATTTTAACATTTCAATCCGCCAATGAAACAACTTTGATTTCCGAGTTTGAGCTCATTTAACCCAACAAATAGCATGCGTGTGCCCACGGACTACATTTTTTCTTTTTTTATAGATATACAAATGTATGGAAAAAATAATAAGTGGGAAATGGTACCCTACACTACATCACTGCATGGGAGCATTTCAGGAACCCAAAAAGTCTGAACCTGTAGTATTCAGTTATTATTTTGTTTAACAATATTTGTTTTATTTATTGATATATAAAGTACTTGTTATACTACTACTACTAGGTACTATAACAAGTTATGTACTTGTTCTTATATATGATAATTCGTTATTAATCATCACATTGAATTATTTTGTATCATTATATTTTAATTTATTAGCCATGATTAAATTTGATTAGTTCCTTAGAACTTTCTTAGTTGATTTAGATTTAGTATTTAATTTTATTACTATAATAGTATAATTACAAAATCAAAATCAATAATAAAATTAATTGACCGGACGAGATCACGCACACACATTTTCTCACTATTTTCCATGTAGGTACATAAATGTTAAATACACCCCGAGTTCTCTTCACTCCCACACGGAGTCTACTTCCCGATTCACCTAATATTCTGGCGTTTTGTGTCTTTTTACGTTCAATGAATACAAATCATTTACAATACAAGTGTAAATTATTTAAATTCTTATTCACGTTGGTATCAACAATTGTAATTATATTAATTTTCAATTTTCTATGCTCACTACAACCGCTACTAAAGAGGTTTTGCGCAAGACAGGTAAGAGTAACTTAAATTCAAATCTTAAAAGTGTTACAATTAGTAAACCCCCACATAGACTAGAAAACATATTTCAATAGTAGAAAGATAGTTGGAAAGCTATGCTATAGCTAATTACAATTATTGCATTACTAGAGTCTGAAACTTTTTATTAAAAATACTAAAAAAATATATTCAGTTGTCTCGTTTTTGGTCAGGGTTGAAATTAATTTTAAATATGACTTCTTGTTTTTAACATTTAGTACTTTTTTTATTGCCATTTTAAACACGACGATTTTCTCGAATTTTAAAAAAAAATATTTAGGATGTTGATCGCACTAAAGCAATATAGACCGAGGAAACTAGCAGCCATGTAAAGTATTCGAATAAATTAATTCAAATGAAAATATTTAAATAATATTTTTGTATTCGAATACTATTTTGAAACTATAATTTTATATTTATAATCTAAATCTTAAATCGTAGATTTTTATATAATACATTATGAACACATAGTGTTTAGTTTTTATGTTTAATCGAAATTTAAGAACTGGCCTATAATATGTACATAATATCTGTTTAATTACCTATATCTATTAACCAGTAATTAATTAATTTAGTAAAATATTGAGCCATAAAACGTTAATTTCAGAACTGTTGTTCTGAAACTGAAATACATTAGTTGAAAAAAAATATATTTGAAGAGTATTCAACTGGTTTCTGAAATACTCTAATAGATATTCCAAATATAAAGTAAAAATATTCTTTACAATACTGGAAACTGGGCATTTTACATTTGCGTTGTGACTTATTAAAAGGTTCAAACTAAAAATATGATATTCCAGCTTTACGTGAATATATGTATTTATACAAAAATTAATATCATTACCATCTCTAAGAATATTTACGTATAATAATAATAACAATTAGTATTATAGTTATATAAAAATACTTTGCTCCTTTCAAATTATTTTTTTTTTTTTGTAATACTGAAAGCGCAAAGAAGATTATTATTTACATAAACATGTGTCTAATAATTAATTATTGACTATATTCAACTATAATTTTTTTTTATTTATTAACACGTAATAAATCACTATTATTATCCAATTATTGTCATTGTATTATCATATTAAATTTAAAATGATATTTGATTGTATTATTTGTAATTGTAAATTATTTCCGTTAAATAATAATATGAATAATATTAATAATATTAGCAAAGTTTTTTTAAAAAAAATCGTGTTAAAAAAACCAAAAGTCTGAGCAACGAAAAAAATAACTATAAACTTATCAAAATATAATAAAAAAAAACATTGTTTTAAAAAATAAATACTTGGTTTGGGTTTTTTTTAAACCGTTTTATTTGCATCCCTGGTTTGGTGCAATTTGAATGATATTGAATATTACATCATAACAATCAATTAGCATTTGTATGGATTTGATTCGAGGTTGGTATCCTGGGTTTTTGAAAATTGAATTTGACCAACAACTTCATTTATATCGGTTTTTTTTTCATAAGATTATTTTTTTTTAATTCCATTCACTTTTCACGGTCATTTACGATAGGTAGAAATTAAATCTATTATTCTCGTGTATCATATCTACTTTATCCTCTTATTATTATTTTTATTTGATATTTACATATATTATGCAAATATCGTATTTCGACGTCAGATTTAAGTAGTTTTTTAATACGGTAGTATTAAAAGTTTAATGTTTTTGAGCAGTCGGTCGTTCGATCTTGACGATTCGCCACGTGAATCGATCCAGAGGACAACAAAAATCCCTATATTGAACTGTCAGAAAAACAACTACACAGTATGAATCAACCTTTTTGGAATCGCCGGACTTGCGTGATTTTGACCGGTGATAGTAAAGGTATAGGACAGAGTTTGGCCGTGGAAATCAGTAAAATTCTGGTTCCAAAATCGACCGTTGTTCTTATTGCTCGAGATACTGATGGTTTTGACGAAACCTACGAAATGGTGCACAAACAAAACAAAAACATTTCGGTCGAGGTAAATAAAATAAATCATGCAAATATATAGGATTACATATATTTAAATTAATTTAAGCAAATGGCGCATTTTTAAACTCTGCTTGTTAAATAAATTGTGGTGGAAGTACCAATAACAACTTAAGATTTTCGGGAAGTTTTTAATTACTTATAGTATTTCTTTATAGTTTAAAAATATAACAAATCACTTCATTACAAACACTAACCAATAACCATATGCCTTATTATTACAATTTATATATTAACGCGCTTTTTTTTTTAAACATACCAGTATACAATATTATTATGTATAATATTTTGTTACATACCGATAAACAATATACAGAAAAAGTACACCACTGCTAGTATACATTTTATACCTAACTTTTAGATCAGTTTTGTTTTTTCAGTGCTTTCAAGCTAATTTGCATAATCCCAGTGTCTCGACTTTTGAAAACATTTTGAACCCCGTCGACACTACGAAATATGAATTATTTTTACTAATCCATAATGCTGAATCAGTCGGTAATTTGGATCATCTCGCAGCTGATATGAACGACATTGAAGAATGGAATAAGTAAACACAACAATATTTGATAGACTAAAACGTATTATGGAATTGTGTTGTCGATATTATGAAATCAATTGCCCTATAACTGGATTAAACGAATTATACGATTTTTACCAATATTCGATACACTTAAAAACTAAACAAAAACAAATCTAAATTTGTATTTTAACATTAAATTATAAATTAATTGTTCAATAACAATTTTCATTGTGCATAGGCAAAATGCTGTTACAAACTATCACGGCGTATTCCATTGATAATAAATAATAATCATTAACTCATAGCAGTGCATTCTAAAAAGATTTATTGAGTATGTACACAATGAAATGTTAGGTAAATGATGCGATAATTATCCGTTGAATAGAGATATTCCTTATTCGAAAAGAACGTGTATTTTGTCTGTTAAAATGTGTACTAAATTTATAGTATCTTCGACTTTCGATAATTTTGATATTAGATGTTAGTAGATGAAGCGCGTTTGTCATAAAATAACTTTTTTATAGTAAATAAATTATCTATTTATTTTTGTTTATATAGATAATAAGTACATTCCTGTTTTATAATAAATTATTGTTAGTTAGTATTATGTACTATATTGGTTTTATCACAGTTTGTACAATATTTTTTTTTCTATAGGAGTATACACCCAATTCACCAATTTTGTTTTATTATTTTAGTTTTGAACATTAACTATTTAATCATTTTTTTTTTTTTTTTTTAGGTACATGACATTTAACTTGTATTCTGTGGCCTGTTTAACGAATGTGTTTTTATCCAAATTTAATTCTAATACAGCCGAAAAGTGTATTGTCAATATGACCTCGTTGCATGCAGTTGAACCGTTTAAATCGGTCGGTTATTATAGTGTTGGAAAAGCCAGTCGAGAAATGTATTTCCGTGTTCTAGCCATAGAAAATCCTACTTTAAATATTCTTAGTTATTCTCCAGGTAAAATATATTGTCTGGGAATTTATTGTTTTTCAATTAAACTAAAACGTTTGGGTTTTTATAGGTCCAGTGTTGACAGATATGTATACAAATCTTAGTTCGAATGCAACAAACGAATTAATACGTGAACAATTAACCACTAAACAACAAGATCAATATACGCGTATTGTAAAAATTGAAAATATTTGTCAAAAGCTATTTCACACATTAGCTATGAAAAGCTATACAAATGGTGGTAGAATCGATTTTCATGATGAATAATGGAATTGCTTCTCTTTTAAATATTTTTAATGTCGCCTACTTGTAACATTGATTGTTCATTATTGTTGTTGGCATAATATTGTATTCTGTTTTTATCACGCTTATCTATTAATTTGTCGGCAAAAGAAAATTCTTTCCAAACTTGTGATTGATTTTCGATCCATTTCCCAAAGTTGATAGACTTAAAATGTTACATAACTCCACATTTTTGATGGCCAGTATAAATATCAAAAATCAGATTTTCTGTTTTCATCAACTTTATTCCTTTTCACCCCATTTGACTTTCGGGAGAAAATATTAAAATATTAATAAATTCTTCATACCTATGACTTATTTAAATATCCTGTTTTTTATACTATAAATAATCTGTGTTCGGATTTTATCCTATAGGGGGTGAAAAACAGATTTAAAAAAAATTCAAATCCATACTTATAAAACAATAATAATAATGGAAATTCTGAATAAAAATATATTTATAAAAGCACCAACTCGTTGTTTGATTATCGCAAATTAATGCATACGAGATGATTCACGTCTTGAAATAGTGTATTGAAAATGTCATCAAGTATGTAAAAAGTGCCCGATGCTTAAATGTATGTTATTGTTGTATTTTATTTCCATTTTCCATTATAATTAACATATTATTATATTATATTATATTATATTATTATACACAAATTAAAAAAGTTTCTGTTGCTCATGGGTAGGCTATTATTGCAGGTGGGTAGTTCAAAAGAATAATTCGGTTTATATGCAACGATGAACCATTGCAAATTAAAAAACTGAGCAAAGTATTATTTGTATATATTTCCTCCCTTAAAGCCAAGGTAACCCAGAAATCAACAAAAATCAACTAACAAAAAAAAGATTTTTAGGAGGTGGACTGTTGTAAATTTCGATGTATGTTTTAAATAAAATACCCATGTGAAGAAATGTCTTTTGTTTGATTAACTGTTAACTTAAAAAAATATATAAGTGTAGCAAAACCGTCAGCAGTATCGGCTCTTTTTTATTTAGAGTTATTTTCAAAATATTCATATATTTGTGTAATAAATTGTATCATTTCAAAATAATTGTGAACCCTTGAATATATTTAAATGATTTATTTATAAGAAATTGTTGTTAATACGTGAAAAATTATCATCTGGAGTTATTAAAATATTATGAATATAGACAATAATTGTATTATTATTATAATTCAAATACAGAATATTTTTATATTAGCTATTGCACAGACACTGGCAGAATAAATATGTATTAATTATACTTGCATTCCAAATGACTTACTTAACTTAAAGGAAATGCATCCTGATAAAATAACAGAAATTTATTTTACACTTATAACAACTATTATAATAAAATCTTTACGATAATATTTTAATTTTATTGGATAGGTTTTATGTTTTTATTTAACTTCATTATTCTATTGAACAAAAACTAAAGTCAACAAGTTATTATTATATCGTTTATAATAGCATGGTCAAATATACCTACCAGTTGAGTGTGTTTAATATACAATTTACTCGTTTTTTTTTTTAATTTTAATGTTATTCTATAATACAAGGTCAAAAACAATATTATATTGTTTCACAATATTTTGAGTCGAACTCTTGATTGGGTATAAAATATGACTATAATTTTTATAGTAAGACTATATTTTAGAAACATGTATAGTAAGAACTAACAAATATAAATACAACGTTGATACAATAAAAAATTACCAAACTATATACGCTCTTAACAAATAAAATAAAATAAACTGTTAGATTTTGTATAATTTAATATTTTGCCTAACAATTACCAATCATATTATCGTGTAAATAAGTTCACCCTGCAAAAATCTAAAATCAAATAGTTTATATAGAAAAAACTACTACAAAAAGCCTAATAAGCCTACTTTTTTTCACGTAAAAATTGAGACACGATATTTATTTTGTACACCTATTCTAGTTTAAATTTTTAAATTTACATTTTAGTTATAGTTAAAAAAAGACGTTTTAGCAATTAAGATAATGGAGACGAGTGTAGCCACTATTATAGGTAATTTAATGTATTTCTGTAAGTAACCATAAACCATTATTATTAGAAAAAATGGGATTCTGAATGAAGTTCAGTTAATATTGATGCTTTGTCAATAATATACGACATTTTATAGTAAAATAATTAAATAAGATCTATATATTTTCTTTAATAATATTTATTTAATGTTGTACCGTTTTTCACAGTTTTCTACGTTTTTCCCTGTTTTCCCATGTTTTATCCGGGTTTTTCACATTTTTTGGAAAAACTCTTAGGAAAATGGAAAAATGTCTTGTGTTTTGATATAAAAAATGTTGGTCGGGTTCTGGAATTGAATGATGGAACTGATATATCAATTAAGCTAAGGAGGAAACTGTCGCTAATTGAACGTGTAGTATGTGAACATCACTATAAGTGTCTAAGTATGTACGTCTCGAACTCAATGTGTTTAAATTTAACAAACAACGAACAAGAGGCTCGTAGTTGTGGTCAATCACTGTATAACTATTAGGAAGTTTTGAATTTACAAACCTTAGAAATTTATTTTGAACACGTTCAATTATATTATTCCAGCACAGCTGATATGGATTCCATAAGATAGAACCATATTCCATAGTTAAACGGATCAGCGAAAAATATATTGTTTTTAAAGACAAAATGTTATTGAAATCGTGGGTGTTTCTAATTACAAAACCAATCAACCATGAAGCTTTCATTAACATATATTGAATATGTGTTAAAAAAGACGGATTACTAGAAAAAATAACACCATAATCGTTAATAGAGTCAACGATAAAACGAAATAAAATTTCATTATTAGTGTTGACTTTTAGGCCATTAATATAGTACCAATCCAGAAAGTTTTCCAAATCCTTTTAAAGTTTAAAACCGTCTTCTAGAGGGTAAATAATATAGTGTAGTTTCAGGTCATCTGCAAACAAGTTGAAGTTTGCATATTTAAATACTAAACTAATATCATAAACGTACAAATTAAATAACAATGGCGAAATATGACCATCTTGAGCTACCCCAGACGAAACTGAGATGCTATTTGAAAAATAGCCATTAACCTTTATTTTTGAGTTTTGTTTGTAATATAATATGATCTAAACCAATTTAAAATATGAACATCCACACCCATTAGCTTCAGTTTAATACGTCTTCTAAATTGATCACAACATTACTAAGGTCAACACTATCATTTTTAATAACACGTAAGTTATCTGTTGAAAGGCGGGAAACTGAACAGGCCGAAGAAAAATGACCGGTGAATAAATTGGAAATGCTTAAACCATCGTTCTGTACTATTGTTTAAAAACATGATTTTATTACGTGATCCAGGATTTTATTACTAATAACATAAAATGTTTTGACGGTAGAATTAAAAATGGTGTTTGATAGTTAATAATAGAGACAATTAGGTCAATTGATAAAGATATAGGTAGTATTGAAAGGAATGAAAAAACAAGTCCAGTAAACAATTTGTGAAATTGCGTATACGGTTAAATTGATGAAAATTAAAATATAAGTAGCCAAGTCATATAAAATCTGATTGAGTAGAAGAAGGAGAGAAATGGACACCTAAATTAGAGTCGTCGCAGTTCGCTGACAGTAAGTTAAAATCACCCATAAAAATAAACTCGTTATCAGAGTATTGTGAATGAAGAAATTCAACTGAGTGTATATGACTATCATAGATATCAGAGCCGCTTACCGGTGGAACGTAAACTCCGCCCAAAATGATTTTCTTGTTGCCAAACACGACTAAAACGAAAAGTAGCTCGATATTGCTAACCGGAATCATCGGTACAGATAACATTTCAGCGGCAAATGTATTCTTAACAGCGATAAGAATGTGGGCTAGTATTTTCATTCCCATCAAAACGAAATAACTGGTGGCCGGCAAATCCAATTTATGAATCATATATATTTGGTGTTGGTCAAGTTTCAGATAAAATACAATAATCAAAATTAATAAGATGACTGTTACAACGTAACGAATCTAATTTAGTGCGCAAATCACAAGCATTCTGATAATAACCTACATAATTAATGTTCTTATTCACTAACGGCACTAACTTATTATTAGAATTAAGATTAAAGATACACAAACGGGATAGAATTTCTCTTAATATTGGACCGGCGTGTATGGTTCAGTTTTTTGGAAGAACGCGTGGATGGCCTCTGATGAACCTCTCATGGACGAACCATTACGAATACTTGTATCCCCGTGATTTTTCCTATTCAATAGCTCATTTGAAAGTTCTTTATATTGTTGCGGTTGAAATTCGGTTTTACTGATGGCAATGTTTAGAATAATGCTTAACAGTTGGCAAATTTCGGAGTCTCGATTTCACTTTTAAGACCTGATAAACACAACTGACACCAGGTAGATATACTCTAAGAAGACGTTTTCCGTTATTTTTAACAACTCTGAGTGTGGATAGTACTTTAACGGGTAGATTCAGAGAAGAAAAAACCAAGTTGAAAAGATTTACATCGTCAAATAAAGTTCAATCATTAGAAAACGGTTCAGGTGCGTTGAAAATGACGATATTGCATTTGCGGCGATCTCTTTCGATAACTTCACTAAATACACCTTGTTCGAAGAAATGTATTTTTCAAAACAATAATTTTACGTTTTAAAATATTTAATTATTTAATCTAACCGCATACTTTAAAAATAAATACGGACATACTTCGCACGAAGGGTGGGCCACCGTTGTGGATGAAAAGTTTAAAGGGGAAATTTAATGTATATCTGTATGCATCGATTAATCTCTGCTAACGAAAAACGATTCTGAGCGCAGTTCGGTTATACATGTTTTAATTGGCCGTCATATTAACGATTTGAAAATGATACATTTTGTAAATTCTCACATTTTTCCTACGTTTTTTCCCCGGTTTTTCCCATTTATTGGGAAAAGTCCTGGCAAAATCGAAAAATGATCTCCCTAAAGTACCACCAACAATACATTCCTCTCTTCGCTCAGAATCATGACTCCAGATCGGTGTCCTGGATTTCTAAAAATTGTTTTTGACAACTATATGGGTACATCTAATACTTAAATTTGGTTACATTCACATTATAGGTTTGTATTCCGTTCTCTTCTGACATCCATACGCAATGAACGCGTAGTTCAATCCTTTATGCGAACACCTATCATGAACGTCTATAATCATTTCCTTATTTCACATGTAAATAATATCACGTAACGCAAATAACGTATTTCGATGCCAGTATTACATAATATTTAATGATTAATTATAAGATGTTTTCGCTTTATATTCCCCCAGTGTGACAAAATGTAGAATCTCCAGTTGCGTATTGCCGCTAACCATTTATCGCTATTATAATATAATACGGTGTCACGAATGCAATAGTTAATTGTTCTGTTCAATATTTAAAAATATTTTTTTTTCCGTAATAATTATTAACACGTCGCGCTATAATCACTCTATTTCATATGAAATAGAAAAAAATAAATAGTTTTTACAAAATCCAAGATATTATGTTATAGTGACAATGAAAAAAAAATTAAATTAACTCGAATTTCAAAAAATTATACCAATCAATTTAACAAGTTTTACACAAGAAAAAAAACATTTGTTAATAATTTTTCTAAACTTCAAACAATTTTAGAAATAATTATGAATATTCGTAACACCAATATTCTGTTTCAAAATATATTAATACTAGTTGTCCCGCGATAGTTATTTGCGACTAAATGGAAACTAACACGATGAACAACCCTATGAGTGAGTACTTACNAATCGCTGTACCAAAAATACCAATTACTCTGTGTCAGCTATCCTTGCAATGCCACCTATCGGGTCCAATTGTAAATCTAAACCATCCAGGGACCCATTCAAACACACATAAAAAATCTCGTCAAAATCAGTCCAGCCGTTAAGGAGAAGTTCAGTGACAAACACACGTGCAGTAGAATTATATATATACAGAGGGGGATAATAGGAGTTTTATCCTTCCCTCTTTTATTTAAAATACAACTATATATGAGTAGTTAATCTAATATCGAAATGTATAGATTTCTTTTTTTTATGATCTAGCCTAATTTTTTTTCGGTTTATTGGTAACAAAGGAGCAAAATATCGTTTGAAAATAAACAAAACGGTTAATGTAGTAATAGGTTCCACGGTAATGCCACAAACATAAATAAACTTTAATATTTCATTTCATTCAATTTTTTAAAGAATAATTTAAAATTTACCTACTATTTCAAAAACGATCTCATTTGCGACTAAATGGAAACTAACACGATGAACAACCCTATGAGTGAGTACACATAAATTATATTATCAGCTTGCACACATTCTAATGATACATATTTATCGGTTTAGATCAATACCGATATGACTAGTATACCGTCATTTATCGATTGAAGTATATAATAGTATTTAAAGGCTATTGAATTCGAAAAAGCGGCGTGTTTTTGGATAGTTTAGACCGTATTTTATAACTACTACCATTATTCTTCCCGTAATGTGATTTCTCGTATGTTTCATAATTTTATTGTAAGTGCGTTGATTAGTGTAATCGAATTTTCGTACTTTGTTTGAAAACCTGGAAAAATAAATATAGGTTTACGATTAATAATAATGACAACGATATGAATATGTGTTTTATTTATTTTATTTTTTACAAAGTATTTAAAAGATTTACTTGCTTTCGACCATACGACTCACAGCGGCTTTCTTTTATGTTATGAACATATTCAATGCTTAGAGAAGATTATTTATTCTTTTTAAATTCCAAGTTATTTTCTTCGCAATGCGAAAAATTCGGAACAAATAAAAATAAGTCGGAACAATCGACGGGGCATATTTAAATCAACGCCGTAAATCGGCTTTTATTAAATTCGATTTTTTTTTTTTCTGTATTATCGTTGAATAAGACGTAATCATAGATAGGTACTTAACATTTTCCTAGAATTATTTTAGCGTTCGAAGGCGTGATATAACTGTCAAATAAACTTTATTTGGATTATTAATAACTATTTGAACTTTTCGTTTAATTTTCAGAAAATATCCCAACTTACTCCAGGTCGGTGTTTATGAATACAAATCCAAGTATTGTATCAGGACTCACCGGGAGTACATTGATTGAAAACTCATGGAGGCCAGGAAAGAATGTTTTTAAGAACTTTTTCACTTACAGAGTGTCACAAAGTTCAATAAACCAGTTCGAAAACAGGTTCGGATATGGTTTTGCATATTCCAAAATGAAAGAAATCACTTCAGAAAAGTAAGATTTGCCTAAAATAATAATATTTTTATTTGATCGACTCTATTCGGTGATGATCACTAAATACCTAATGTAAAATTCATAATGTCGATTTAATAAACGGTGTGGATTTGTGATAGGTACAATATGATCGAATTGTCTCTATCTATTTAATACTAGATGTTCCTTCCCAAGTCAAAATTTAAATTTGAAAAACGTTCATTTAGAAAACGTAATGGAAAAATATCGGTCATTATTCATGATGATTCATAAATATTCTAAATTATATGTTGATTATAGGTAGCTAAATATATTAAAACTAAAATTTACTAAAAAAAAAGGTAAAATAACCGGTATATATATATATATATTTTTGTAGCTAAATATATTAAAACTAAAATTTACTTAAAAAAAAAGGTAAAATAACCTGTATATATATATTTTTTTTTTTTTAATTCAGCTATATCGTGCCGTATTACAAACAATATAGGTAGTTCTATAAAAACAGATAAATAAATATTTGAGTCAAAAATTAAAAAATATACTTTTTTTTTTCAACGATTAAACATGACATTTATTTTAACTAATCAACGCATATCATAATTAATTGGTTATAAATAATTGTTTACTGGTATTCTTTAGTGGTTTTAGTTATATGGTGCCCTACCCAAAACTGTACACATACGTCGATTCAAACTTAAATAAGGATATTTCTTATTCGTTATCCTACAACGTGATGGGCAACTTGTGGGCCCACATCACTGGCCAAGTCTTGGGAAATCGGTCGAACAACAATGTTACCGGATCTATTGAGTGGGCTAGCAAAAATGTTAGCGTGCAGATGTCCGCCAACAAAGCTGATAATCAAAAGAACCAAGTAAATATTAGTTTCACGAGGCGGTTATTTAGCCCTTGGTTGTTCGGTGGCCAGTGTACATTAGTAGCCGAAAAAGGAACATCTTCATCAAGTTTAATCAAAAGTTATGAAGGCATGTTTGGATACCAACATGATAAACTAACTTATGNCCAATCTCTGTCTACGGCCGTGCGGGCCGTAGCACGCTTCAAGTCCAACACGACTTCTTTAGAACTAAGAAGTGAACATGGTAAAAATGAATTGAAATGTATGCTTGCGCAACAGGTCGTCCTTTCCGAAAATTTGTCAGTTCAAGGTGATTATATATTATTATGAAAAATCCGCTTTCCTTAGACGCATTTAGTCTTCTTCTCCATCTTAGCTTGCATTATGCCATACGTAAATTAAACAGCTCGTAAATATATGAATCCGTACGTTTTGTAACTTTTTTTAGTAACGTATGTTTGACGTATGTTTATCTAGGTTGTCTAGGTTACCTGAATATCTATATACACACGTTTATCTAGTGCACCACGGAACACTGTAAAATCACATAGTTCATTTTTGAATGTCATTGATTTAGGTAGATTTATTTATATTTTTGTTTATGGACACTATTTTAATATTTGTTTCAGCCTGCATTTCTCTTAGTACTTCAAGAATAAAATATATTGATGGATGTATATTATAAAACTGTCTATTATAGATACGGTGAAACCTTTCTGGCTCATTTGGTGTTCTGAAACCCAAATTCAGAATCCATTTAACATGTTTTGAAATGATATCTAACAAAAATACTAAATCAAAAATAACTGATATTTATGAATTTCTGTTTAGTCTAACAATTTTAACAACAGAGTACCTACCGTATAAATATTTCATAAAAAATTCTCTCTTTTAGAGAGATATTAATATATATTATTTGAATAAAATATATCAACTATTCAAAAACTATATAATTGAATTGAATTACAAACCTGAAACTTATAGATTAACTACTGTTCACGAGGAAATTGATTTCAATAATTTATACCAAAAAAGACGGACACGCTTTGCATGTGGACGGGCCACTGTTGTAGGTGAGAAGTTGAGAAGATAGATGGGAAATTTAAGGTATATCTTTATGCAACGGTTAACCATTACTAACGAAAAACGATTCTAAGCGGAATTCGGTTAATAGTGTTGCTTTGTCAACAATATATATATGTTATAGTATGGTAAAATAATGACACATGCATTATACATTTTCTTTAATAATATTTGTTCAACATTGTACCTATTTTCCCGTTTTTCCAATTTATTGAGAAAATCCGTGGGAAAATCAAAAAATTACCTCCTTAAGGTACCGCCCCAGTGAGATTTCCTTTTATAAAAAGTGCTATCATTTTAAATCGGAGCAAAAGTGAAAAGTTGTTCACCGATAAAAAAAAAAAAAAAAAAAAAAATAAACATCGTTGTAAAACATTCGTCTTTCTCTTCAGGATCTAAAATGGTATCCATAATTTACGAGAAAAAAATATTTATCAGAAATTTCGATATAAGTAATTCAACATTGACGGTAAATTCCATTAACAATTTTAACATCACGCTCAAATCATTATTTTATAGGTTATTGTAACTGATAGCGTTACACGGAAATAGAATAAAGTTATTCTCAAAACGTTTTCGTTGTAAATTGATTAGGTAATAATATGTAAATTGTTCGATGCGCGGCGGCTAAATATTATTACGCGAGTGGTTAATACCTGTACGAAAATCGGATTTCAATTATTTCGATTAGTGAAAAACAAATTGTGTACAATATGGAATGGCATTATGTTTGAGCAGTTTCGTCCGGTGAAAATCAAGACTGAGAAGTATACTTGTTTAATTACTTGTCGATATGTATCTAGTTCATTGAACACTGGCAGAAATCGGAATTACGCGAGTTCTTATATACCCAATTTCGTTTAACCGGTGAGCGATAATCGCGGTAGATTCAACATATCGAACATTACGAAATTCTAAGAAAAAAACTAAGACGGAACTACGGAATGTCAGCTCATAAAATATAAGTATCAACGGCTTAATTGCGCATAGTTAGGTAATAATAAAGGAATCGATTTATTGATCATATAAGAAATCGTAGTATAACGAATAATTATGATAAATCCAAAGTCTAAAAAAAAAGAAATCAAAAAATTACACTGTGAGTAGATGCCTATAGACAATATATTTATTGCGCGTGGGGTCACGGTCCTGAACGGCCAAGGGGGACGATAAGTAATGCGGCAGTGCGCTCGTTACGGTGAATACGAAATTACAATTAATGTTAAATAATATTATTTTACACACACGTTAAAAATCACATGATTAGGTATATAAGCTCAAATAGGAGGACTCCGAGAGCTTAGCTTCCCAAAAATTATCAATAGTCCCCTCAAACTGGTTCTGTTATTTTTTTTTTCTACGTTCATTGGATTAAATATTTATAAAGGCATAACATACCTACCTAATTATATATTATAATGAATAATAATACCGAAAAATGTATATATGTGTGTGTGTGTGTAATATGCGCAACTGTGTTTCGCACACCAATAATAAATAGTCTGAGCATACCTAAATAATATAGACTGTAGTTGAAATAGTACATTTATACAAATTCTGTAGGGAGTTTTATTGAAATTAGGTAAAAGTTTGATATCTGAAACCGAGCATATTGAGTTGAATTTCTTTAGGGGTGTGTACTTCTGTAAGCGCCCCAGTTATGATACAGGACGTCGGCTCCTTCAAATCTCAAACGCTATTTGCATCTGTAGTTAGATATCTACTATTGTACTTTCAACTTGTTGAGGAAAAAAATATTTGAACCGAATATTATCTTTGTGTGATAACCGCATTATTCACGCAGCAAATCATTTTAAACGAATTTTCTGTCCTGATCTATTTAGTAAAGTGTTACGAATTCTAAAAATAGATATGAATTCAACGTGAAGTGTACGCGAGATCGGCCGGGTCACATTTTCGATTGTTAATCCATAATTTCTAAAAATCAGATTTGAGAATGTACACATTTAAAAAGGTATACAGTATACCAATGTCGTTATTTATTAATAATAGAACTTTTTTTTCAATATTCTCATTTATTTTGTTTGTGATTACTGATTACCAATAAGAGTACCTCGAGTATTCAATAGTACCTCGAGAGTACTATTAAACATATATATATATAAATATAAAAAATACATATTTTGCATTACATAATTGATCAAGTATAAACTCATTTATAACCACATTTTTGGCATACTATAAAAATGGCACTATTGAGTTATTTAACACAACATATATTATAACTTCGAAAAGCTCTGATTTCTAAACTAAGTCAATCCGTTCAATTCTGACTTCACCGTAGTTCTTAAATCGGCAATAGGTATACATATGATCAAAACAAAAAAAAATACGTTCTGGATAATAGGGACGGGTGCAGTCACTGTTAGAGATAATTTAATGTATACCCATAAGCAACAATAAACCATTGCTTACGAAAAAAAGATTCTGAGCGGAGTTCAGTTGATAGTAATGCTTTGTCAACAATATATATGTCGTTTTCTAATAAAACAATTAAATAGACTTTATATATTTTCTTAAACAATATATGTTTCATGTCGTACCGATTTTCCTAGTTTTCCTACGTTTTTCCCGGTTTTCCCATGTCTTATCCCGGTTATGACATTTTTAATATAGGTTGCCTTTTGGAAATCAAAAGTAAATATTGATTTTATCCCAAAAAATAGATGACAAAAAATAACATAAATTTAAAATTGTTGAGCTGCTTGTTTCTTTCCGAGATAATGAGTGTCTTGCGAAAGATTGATCACCCTGTATAGAATGTATAGGGGAAAAAATAAGTACCTGGGTTAGGTAATATTTTCTAAAATCAAAACGGGTAACTACAATGGAAATAATATTATATAATCCGTGAAATGTTTTATCACAATGCACACTGAGTAGGTTAGGTATTTATCTAAAATGCGATAAATCTATTAGGAAGAACATAGGTTGCGCACTCCACGAGTATACGGTACGTACATTTTAATATTTTAATTAGACAGTTTAGAAACACCGATGTTAAAGTGCGCGTAAAAAAATTAAATCGTTTTGTGCGTGTCAATTATTGTTTATAATAAAAATTCAAAATTTAACAAACGAAAAAATAATACATTATTGATATACCAAATGTTTTAATTAAATCTACGATGTGTGCGCTCCTACTTGTGTGTTTCGCATATATAGGTACCGAAAAAATAAACGTAGGTACTTTATAAACATATTCTTTTGATAAACAGACATTATATTAACAACGAACGGTTAACATTGTGTAACATCACTTTTATAACATGTGTGTGGTTATGTCAATGCTGCCCAACGTTAATACAGTCACTAAACTCGACCCACCCTATAATTCAACCGGAACTCTGAAAATCCGTTAAATAATTAATACCGTTGAATTTACGTTTGTTAACGCGACCATAGATTGTATAACCGTCACGTAGTGGTGTACCGGTCTCAAATCAAAAAAATAGAAGAAATTCGCTTTCAACGGAAAAACAGCACTGCAAAATGGACGGATCCGTGGCACTGGTGTCCGGTGGTGGTCGAGGAATCGGATTCTCGTTTGTCGAAATATTGGTAAAAAACGGAGTTTATGTAAGTACCTGCCAATGTAATTACTTACACCTATACCTACACAATAAAATTGTTCACACGATTTATCGACTGCTACTAATTCACACGTTTTTTTTTTTTTTTCACAATATTTTAATAATTGCAGGTAGTGCCTGTATGTTTGAATAAAATAAAACCAGCCTGGACTTTTTCCTTTCAATAATTACCTGCACAATCGTTTGATATGATTGTATTTACAATATTTTCAATATGTGTACGTTTGTACCGTAGTCCGTACACCATAATATAGACACGTATCGACTTTAGTTTTTACAGAAATTCGTACAGAAATCTGTGTACTCTAAAAAATAATGATATACCTATGCGCATTATGCAATTATGCACGTATTAATATTATTAACTATTATAATGTATCCGATATAATCACATACCGATAATTAGTTGCACTAAGTACTGGTATCGGATAACCGTTAATGACTCTTAAATTTATAACAGCTGACAGTTTTAACCGGACGAGTAGGAACGTTCAACTATAAACATGGATATTTAACAAGGATATTAAATTCACTATTCTCTTCTACTGTTCTGAATTTTAAACCACTGCAACTTATAATTTTATAAACCATAACCGGATGTTATACATTTGGAAATGTTTGGAACAATATTTTCTTTTCAGTTGCGAGTTTAAAAATGTGAATTGTTAATTGAAAACCAATAGTTAATAAAATGATAATACATGTGTATTTACATGGTAGGTATATAATATAGATACGTAATAAGTGTAAAGTTTTGAAAATATTGTAAACAATAGATTACTAAACTAAAACGATGATGGAAAAAAAATTTAACTTAATCAAAATATTCGTGAAGACAATCGTTGTGGGTTCTTTATAAAATAATCACTTTTTATGCAGTTACAACAATAATATAAACATTGTAAACACGGTAATACGGCCGTACTTTATGATGAACCCATAGAGTAACTCTACTGATGAACAAAAACCCAAAGTCTATTTTACATATTGCAAAAACTTGTACAATTAAATTCAATACAATCGTTAATCAGTTTAATACAGACTCAACATAAGAGAAAGAATAAATTGACATAAATATTTAATTTTAATTTTAATAATAATTGACTTTACAAAACTTTTAATTATATTACCTAATTATAATTGTTTATCATATTTTAAAGTCTGTGGTACATACTGAAATTAAATAAACTTTACGCCCTCCATACAAATTGTCCGAGTTATGCCCACGAAAGGATGTATAGTTTTTAAAAAACGTGCTGATCAACCATCAGTACATTACATGATGATATTGTCGATGAAACTATTAAAAGCAATGGATATTATACAATTATCGTGCAAATGTAACCGCCGATCGCAGTTTTATAATTTAAAAATTATTTCTAATACCATGATATAACTTTAGCCCCTAGACTTTTCATCGTTATGTTTTTGTTTTTATTAAGGTTTCTTTATTAGACATAAATATCGAATTTGGAAAAAAAGCAATTAAACAATTAGAAAACGATTTCAATGCATATGGCAGAGTTTTATTTATAAAGTGCGATGTTACAAATAATGATGAATTTGAAGGTGAGTATATTATAGTACCTGTCAGTGATTGATGATCAATAATTATTTAATTTTTAACAACTTTTTAACCAGAAATCTTGTTTCAAATATCAACCACTAAGAGCGGTTTTTAGAAGACAATGTTTTCTAGTTAGTGCATAAGACTATGGGCCTTTTTAGATTTTTTTTACTTTTCCATAAGGAAAACTGGGGGAGAAAATCGGAAAAACCTAACTTATTGCGGGATAACGGTTTCTGTTGAAATCGATTTTGTTTTTTTGTTGCAATTCAATGATAAATCCGCTTGGTGAACTAAAATTTTTTACTAGTTTTTTACTATTATGATTAAAAAAAAAAAATAATAAAATTTTTTTTTGGCTCTGGGAAGGTTCTACTGAACCTTGGACCTCTCCGTCATAAACACGCCATATAGATACCTATAATATTGCTAACTGTTATTAAAATTTGAACGTGAGAATTATATCACTTTTAAAAATGATTTTAAACGAAGCATAACATTAACCGGTATTCTCAACGTTCATACTAGTTATAACTACCTCATGCACAGGTGAAATGTCGTGCCATCTCCAAACTGCGTTCGTGGTCACCCATATCAGACAATATCACAAATACTAACTGAATGCCCCATTAGGAAATTCAACGGTGAACCTGAAGGTATGTCCAATGCTTCCCCGGAAGCTATTGTATAGATAAAATACTTCACACAATGGGTGGGCCACTGTTGTAGATGAGATAAGTCGGGAAGGTAGGGTATAGAGGAAATTTAATGTATATCTAAATTCGACGATTGATCTATACTAACGAAAAACGATTCTGAGTAGAGTTCGGTTACACATGTCTTAAAAAGCCGTAATATTTACGGTTTCAAAATAAGACATTTCGTATATTTTCCCCTTTGTCCCATTATTATGAAAACACCTGGGGAAATCGAAAAATGTCCCGTTTAAAGTACCACCCCGGGAAAATTACCTTTCAGAATAGGTGCTGATACTCGATACTTCGGAGCAAGATTTCTAGTAGAATTTTTGTACACAGTATAAGAAAAAATAAACATCATTGTAAAAACAATACATTCCTTGCTCCAATCAGAATCTAAAAAAGTTATAACATTTTGAACAATCAATTTAGCTACCTGATCAAAATCTAGCATTGTGATTATTAATTGAATATTTGTTTGTTTTTTTTTTAGACGCTTTTAAGAAAACCGTTGATACATTTGGAAAAATAAATATAGTCATTAACAACGCTGGTATAATGAAAGAATATCTCGATTTATGGGAGCTAACTATCGATTTAAATTTTGTAAGTTAAATAAATTGTACAACAATAATAAAATATAAGTTTCGGGGTCGTAAGTAAAGAGTGTTGGTTAACCACGCTCCCCATTTCGAAATATACTACGGGAGTTTGATTCATATTTCAACTTCCAATTCACTATTATTACAAATAAACGATTAATAAATTATAAATTACTCAAAACAGGTTTATTATTTATGGTATGTGCACGCATTGGCAGTTTGAAGTAAAATGTAATGAAACGTGTGTGAATGTAAATAATAATTATAATTCTGTACATAATGTACTTTATCATCACAGTTATTTTATCAAATCAACCAACTAATGGATAGTATTTAATGATAATATGTTATAAAAATTCAATTTTATTATACTTCATAGTTGGGATTTTATGTAAGTTTCAGACCACGGCCAGTAGTATATTTGTAGATTCTACGACACAGTAGAATTTAGCCTGTTTTGAGACTCCGGATTTCGCATAGAAATTTGTGAATTTGGCCTCTTTCCAGACTTTGAATTTGGTCTCATTTTTGGTTTTTGATTTTTATTTTTAAATAATATTTAGCGATAAGTAAACCAAAAAAAAAAGAGGCCAATAATAACCTTAATTCGTATTTGTTCATAGGGCGTTTTGCTTTGGCGAAGAACCTACAAATGTATACTATTAACCACGTTTCGCACCACTGTGCGCCATGCCACACCATAAATATTTGCTATTTTTCCAATACCTAAATTTGTTTACGGTTTTTCCTTATTTGAAAACCCTTGGAAAGAAAAACACATATCGCTGTAAAACCAATAGAATCTAAAAACACACAGATCGTAGTAAAACCAATAGATTCCTTGATCCGTTCCGAACACAAAATAAGTTTAAAAAAAAAACTAAAACTCATCTTCGAAATAATTCAAAATAACTTCTTATTTAATTTTTTAAAAACAACAAAAACATAATACTAGAAATGTATTCGGACGTCATCTCATAAAAAAATGTCCTACTCTTATTGAAATAATATTAATTATATAATTATTGTATAATTAATATGACGTCTAAGTTTTTAAAACTTATTTTCATGACGGTAGTAAATTATTCATAAGGGGCAATTATAGGCAACAACTACGTTTTTAGAACATGCATTTGTGGGTTTAAAAATATGGATTGCCATATGAAAATAAATAAGTGATAACTGGCAATAGGCATGAGCTAAATGTTCATAATGTATAGAAAAATGGTAAAATATGTGTTTTTATGTTGTAGAAAGCAGTGGTTCGCGGTACTGTACTAGGTCTCAAGTATATTGAAAATAAAGTCGATATAAATTCCGCAGTGATCAATATAGCGTCGATAGCTGGCTTGTCCAATAGTGTTTTACCCATATATCAATCGACCAAAAGGGCAGTAATCGAGTTCACAAAAAGTATTGGAGTGAGTATAACCAACAATATTTGCATAGATGAAATTTATTGAATTATTGTTTTAATGTTTATACAATTATTATGCATTCCAAGTGTTCGTATAATTCGGAAAAAAATGGCAATAACATTAGGATCATGGCCATTTGTCCTGGGCCTACTTTTGATGGGTTCGAAAACAATATCAACGAAAAAAAAGCGTTAGAAAAGAAAATCAGAACCTTACTTACAAGTGGCGAAGAGAATCCGAATCCAAATAGAATACTGAACATTCAAAGGTAAATGCCTAATATACTCTTATATCACACAAATATTAGATAATTAATACATTTATTAGGTACCTACATATATAAGAGTAATTATTAATATATAAATTATAGAAAAAGCATTTGAAATTTACCCATTTTTAATTTCAGCACTGAATATGTTAAAACTGCATTATTTCATGTTATGAAAACCGGTAAGTCTGGCGACGTATGGGTAGTGGAAAATGAAGGTACCCCAAGACTTGCACATTTTTCTTCTCAGTACTAAGCATAAATTATTAACTATAATTTCTGCGTAAATTTATTTCAAAATAATTAATGATAAAAACAATTTTTATAATTTGTTTGATACCTATCAATAATGTTGAAAAGTTAATTTGTATACTTAAAGCATATCGATTTCTACTCTAGTACTCTATACTTCTTTAGAGATTAAATACGTATATTTACAGCTAGTTTATTTTAATTTTTTTTGTGTTAAGTTTTAAATAAAAGTTATAATAAAGGAATAAATTTATATGCACTTAAAAAATATTTAAAAAAGCAAGTGTTAAAGAGGTTTAAGTCCTCCTATAATGGTTCTTACCCTATAATAAACAATTGTCAAATACTTACAAATGATTAACACAAAGTATTTTTTTTTCTTTTTAATAACACGCACAAATTTATTTGAAAATTCACTTAGTAATAACTGATAATCATTTTTATATTGTTAAATATACCATTACAAGGGGAGACTTTTACACCCTTTTACTATTATTGCTCTTTTAAATATTTTTTAAGTACACTTAAATCTGTTCCCTAGTTATAATACATGAACAATTATATCTAAAATTATTAATTATATAATAACTAATACAAAATTAATTTGAGTATAATTTATGATCATTTTTCTTTCTGATATAAGTATACACACTCAATATTCATTACACAGGACGTTTTACATTTTAATACCAATATATTATGTATGAGTAATTTTTTACCATTTAAGGGAGTTTTTTCTGTTTTTAGTTATTTTACACTATTTTTATAAATTTTTATACAAATTACATTATTTTTTAATTTTCATAGGCAGTATGTTTTTTTTTTTTTTTATCATTGTTTTAAATATTTTACACAACTGTGTAGTATACTCTATATTGTGTAAACAAATTATTATGTACAACTTTTAATTTGTGGATTCATTAAAATAAGTCTAATCACATTAAATTAATTGCAACATATCAGTAGTGAATTTCCAAAGAAAGTAGTTATTTATAATTACATTATTTGTTACTTTTTTGTAATTGCCTATATAGGTTACTTTATTAAAAATGCCTACTGACATGATCTATACTTAGCAGTGAATTATAATAACAAAAAAACACTACATAAATGTGATTTTATATATTAAACAAAGAATATAAACATAGGTAATGGAAATAAAATATATATTACCAATGTGTATAATTTATTAAGATCTACAATTTTTTTGTGTATGTTACATTAATATTTATTATGGAAATACTATACCAAATAATAGAATTTCTACTATTTATATACTTATGTATATAAACACAAACCATTACATTATGCAGAGATAAATATGATTTACATATCAAACATATCAAAATATTTAAATATTGATAAATATGTACTATGATATGGTAAACAGTAATATCCTATTTAGATTGGTAATAATACAATATTCCTTATAATGCATGTATAAATTATATAATAAACAATAGATATTTTTTTTAGAAATTGTACACACAAAATAAATATATATATATATATATATAACATAATATATTATTATAAAAAAAAAAATCAATATATTCTAGTGTGTACATAGTAGTGTATACAAAATAAAGTATATTTTAATATTTCATCCTTACACCAAAATATTAAATCACATTGACTACAATAACCAATTTAAATACGATAATAGTTTGTTATTATACAATCACCTAATTAATAGTTAATGGATAGTTACAAAAACATTATCTAATGTTTAAAAATTAAAAACTGGCACACAAAAATATTTTCAAAAAAAGTGATTTGTCAGTGATATATTTTTGCATAACAAAAAGACAAATTTTAATTAAATAATTAACCACAAATAAAGAATAATTATAAAAAATTGCAATAGTTTAATATTTTAAGTTATTTTTGAAAATTTTAAAATAAGATCTATTGAGCATTTTATTTTTCTTAACTATAAAATAACTGGTTCTTTTAATATTTAAAATAATTTTAAATCATAAATAAAATATCCCACATTAAGTTTAACAAATAATTTCTATTGATCGAAATTATTGGTCTTTCGTAAAGATAATTTAGGTCCACTAATATGTCATGGTATATTTAGGATTTTGATTTAAGCCAATGTGCCCACATTTTAAATTGTTCAATAAGTACTGAAATGTACTTGTTAGTAGAAGTCAATACGACCTAATAGTATTGCCAAACTACCTAATGCTGTCATAGAGATAGAAGAATGTAGAGAAATTCCAGCAGAGTCTTTTTGGATTTCAGCACTCTTGAACTGTGAACACGGGGTTGAGCGACGTACAAAGTCAAATAATGATCCGATAATATTAGCTGGTGTAGGTTCACCACATTTTGTCAACTCAGCTACTGCGCATGCTTGCAGTTCGGATAAACTCCTAGAAAACAAAATAATAATTTGTATGATAAATTAAATAATTATTTACATAAACTGTATATTATTTCTAATACTTACTTGCATTGCTCTTCTTCAAATTTGAATGACGGCAAGTTAGCTAAGTTAGCTGATGGTTCACTATTGGGTGTATACTTGCTAAATGATTTATTAAGACAGTGTTGGAGGGCTTCCTTTTTGTCCATCAAACAATCTGGGCCGCCTTCCGAATAAAACACTAAACAAATGTGAATTACATTATAGATAACATTAACGCAATTTTTAAAATAAATGTTATAAAATAATAATACATTTTTTTTAAAAAATAATGATTGATTAATACAATGATTAGTATAAACAATTTTAAGTTTTAAATAAATCTTACATGCTATTCGATCACCCTCATCATGGCACACAAATGATAACAAAGCTTCAGTTACAACCATGAGAATGTGCTCGGTATCCTTTTCACTGGCATCTAAGCATACATCAATAGTAGATGTGTAATTTGTCATACAATCTTTAAATTCTGGCGACTTCCTAGTAAAATTATTTATTTTAAAATTTAAAATTTGTTTTTCAAAAAACAATTTATTATCACATACTTGCAGTATTTCTTAAATACCATATCAATATCACCTTTGGGTTTTGCTACATTAATCTCATTTTTTAGTTCTGTAATATTAACTATGCCACGGGCACAATCTTCTAACTCCTTTCTGGCTTCCTTAAAATAAATAAACAGATAATTTAAATATAAAAATTAAATACAATTAATAATTAAAAAAAAAAAAATATATTTGGAATCAAATATTTCAATAAAAATAAAAGAATTGTTTTTAGGTATATCATATTCTAAATAAGTAAAATACATATAAACGTAAGATGAAATATGTATTAAAAAATCATTCAGAAAACAGAAAGAATCAACACAATTTATCAATTACTTAGACACATGAACACAATTACACGAACTACTATAGTAGAGTCTCACTTATCCGGTCATCGCTAGTCAAAACAATTTATATTTTGTACTTAAGTACATACTTATATATATATATATATATGCACACACATAAATATTATAATATAAAAATGATTCATGTCAACGTACTAGATTAGATATTTATAGCATAGCTGTAGTTACCTATACAAAATTGGAATTATCTAATGAAGTCTATACTGGCATGTGGCCTGTTTTTCGGAAAGTACCCACGATTATTAAGATTTTATCGTTTTGATTATATATTATCGTTTCTCGTTTCAGTTAATCAGTTCATTTGTTGTTTTATTTGGTGGTTATTGTGTATTCGTGTAGACCGTTTAATGAGTAAATCTTTATTTTATTCTGCAATTATTATAAAAACAACATAAAATGACAACTTCGGTTAAACGTAAGAAATTCTATTTAATTCAGATAGAGTCTGGTCCTATCAAGTCCGGATCAAAGGGACTCTACTGTAATTTATTGCATAATGTGTACACATTTGCAATAATATTACCTAATTAATAATCAATGTTAAAATATGTGAAATAATTTACGATATAAATATTATAAACCATGAATATTGAATTATAGTTTTGTTATGAGCTTTATAATTTTCATAATAATTTCTTAAGTTCAAAATTTACAAAACTGATCAGATTGTATTCATAGATAAAATGATTTTGTAATATTGGTTAAGAGTTATGACAATAGCATAACGACTAATATCAATTAATAAACAAAACAACTAGATTTGCATAACTTTGAGTGTAGTCAGTGGCGGTGTGAATTTATTATTTCAATGCCGCAGTCAAATTTTTTAACACCCACCCTCCTTCATATAAAAACACAAATTATTAAAAAAAAATTTTTCTTGATTTTTAAATTTTAATCTCAAGAATAAAGTACCTTCCATCATGTACTACACATTGTACCTCAAGTATATTGTACCTACTTAACCGTCTATCAACATTCAACACCCACCCACCCTTTTTTTCGTGACGCAGCTGCGTCAATTTAACCCCGTTCACACCGCCACTAAGCATAATTATGTGAATGCATTTAAATTAAATTAAAAATTAATTTTAATAATTGAATTGTAATTGAATCTTTTATGAGTATTAGCTATATTAGCTAGTTTTTAGTAGTTTTTTGCTTTTCAATATCGTATTCATAAAAAATTGTGGAAAAACGTAGGAAAAATGGGAAAGTTTCGGCATTAATAGTTTCATTATTTTCGATTTTGTATTTTTTTACAATTCGGTTAAAATTAAACGTGAAGACCAGACAATTTCACAGAATACTTATTTTAAGATTTTATAGACGTGTTAACGATTTTTTAAACCATGTATAGGAATTTGACACTTGTTATTTATTATTTGGTTTAATGGTGATAAAATTGTTCTCCGAACAGAAATGCTTGAACAATTTAATACGAAAACCTATTAAAAGTTTCAAAAAGCGGTGTAAAAAAAATTGGACGTAATTTAACTAGCAGATTCTTTTTATAAACGTTTTAAGATCAAATTTTGACAAAAATCGTAAAAATTACGGCATTTCATTACATGTATAATCTTTGTTCAAAATTATTTTTTCGATCTAATGGCTTATTGTTGCTTACAAATATAAATAAAATAACTTTATGCATCCTAACTTGATTTTTTTTAATTTTTATTTTTATTACACTAAATACGCCTAACAAACATTATTTGTTAGCGTTAAATGTTAGTAATAAATAATAACATAGGTTTACGATTTTAAGATCGGGATAAAAATATTTTATAGTATCAATATTAAATCACAATATTACCACGAGAGAAAAATTTCATAATATAGCAAAAACTACATAGTAGTAATTCACAATGTTCTTTCCCCAACCACAGAAATTTGAACACGCCAATGATTAAATAATTATATAATTCTTCATGACACAATGAACTAAACAAATTCAGTACGTACGTAATTACCCGAATGTACAACGTACATTGTAGTGTAAAAATGTAGGAATTTGAACCATTTTTATATAAATTTCATATATCTACAATTCCATTCCATATTCACTATAAAAAATCACCATATTTATCAACACCTCGAAAATATACTATTAGAATATGATTACAAATATCAACGCGGCAACATTTAATATAATATCAATATTATGTTTTGCATTATTTAATTTTTTATATTACTGGTGGCGGTTTCATAAATTTGACGAATAACGAATGTTTAATTTATATTATGCACAACACTTGGAGGAGGAGGGTGTCATTTTATAATTTTTTATCAGTACCTACTTGTTTCATCAAACAAACAAATACATATGTTATTTCTCTACCAAACCATATTACTTTCATGGCATTTGATAATTTATTGTGCAATTTAAATTTAAACTGATTAAAATATAATTATATATATTTATATTGTATTGATAAAGGATATACCTATTTTAAACATCATTTTTCATTCAGTTCAATCAAAGGATTGAATGTTCGAAATAACGTTTAATTCTAATCACATCTTGCACATTTAACATACGCATATAACCTTCATGTTTTCATTACCGTGTTTTTTTATGTGAACACTTTATACCAGAAAGCATACTCCGATTATCAAGTAAAGCATCTTTTCTGAAAGGAAACGTTCTCTGGGTGATACTTTAAAGAGGTCATTTTTTGAAATTCTCATTAATATTCGAAATAATGAGGAAAACCTAGGTCTTTAGATTAAAAATGATTGAAAGATAAAAACTAAGGTTGTCGTTGGCAATCGTTGTTTATTTATTTTTGTTATTATTAAGTTTTTATCGTTTTAATTTTTTTAAACAATCATTGTTGTCATGTAAAAACACATTGTTGTTATCATTTTACCATAATATGATGTATACCATATGTTGTATTGTTGACAAAACAACACTATCAACTAAACTCCGTTCAGAATCGTTTTTTCGTTAGAAATGGTTTATCGTTGTTTACAGATATATATTAAATTCCCGTCTGTATCCTATCTTTCCAAATCCCCGCCTACAATAGGGGCTACGCCCACGTACGAAATATGTCCGTTCTTTTTTATTATTATATTTTTACATTATATGAGATTTTAGAATATTTTAGTACCAAATAATAATAACAATATAAATAGTTTCACTGCGTATGCGGCGCCAAAAAAAAACCGCCAACGACTAGTTCGAGCGGCGCACTACATGCGCACCGAAACCGCGCCGCAGCCCGCACTGCTTTGATGGGCGCCGGGCCTAGGGCTTCAATGAACTTTTTTCTTTGCATAGTGATGGCATTTCTGCAGATTTCACCCGACAATTATTGTGTTTAAGAGGATTATAAAACACAAAAATTCAAACAATCAAAGACCTCCTTATTAATAATTAAAAATGATTTCTGTACAACATACCTACTGCGGTGTAATATCTGCATATATAATTTAAATTTCACTACCTGTGACAGTAGCAACAGCAGAAAGGTCATTCTCAAAATTAAAATTAATCAAAAACTATTTAAGGAATAGGGTCAAGATCGCTTTTCTAATATTGATATTTTAAATATAAAAAAAGATGTAGCTAATAAACTAGATTTGGAAAAAAATTATTTTTACAATTGCAAATTCCAAAACTAGAAAAAAAAAAAACTTTCTCGGGTTATAAGTATGTAATTATTTAAATTTTAATACGTGTACAAAATATATTGTATACAAATAACTAAATTACTGTTGTATTGTTATAAGTATTAATATATTATGTTTACATGTATTTAGTTAATCTATTCAAAGGTTTAATGAGACTAGGCATTGGGTGAGTTACAAAAATATGTATAGTAATGAAAATGTGTGTCATGTCCATCATTATTGGGTTTTCTTAATTTTATTTACAAAAACTTAGACATTTGTTAATATTACCTCGTTTTTTCCAATCGACAATTTGTCTACTACCACAAATTTTGTTCACAAATATAAATGTAAAAAACTTAAATTAGGGCCCCTTCATTACAAATGACACTGGGGCCCTAGTTGACCTAGTTGCTGTCCACTGTCCCTGTTCATCACAAATAGCACTTATAATTAACTATTTTAGATTCGGAGCGTAGCGAGGGATCTATTGGTTTTACTGTGATGTGTATTTTTAATTTTTGTACTTGTAAACAACTTGTCTACCGACAATTTTGCTCAAAAGTACCTATACTATATAGCAGTGGTTCTCAACCATTTTTTTAACATACAACACTCACAAGTCACAACTCGGTGATTATGACTGAGGACGTGCTTATTTATGTACCTATGCGTAATGCCAATTTCCTAGAACCATGAATAAACAATTGTTTTTGGCAACACGCTAGTGTGTTGCACACACAGGTTGTGAACCATGGCTCCACAAAGTATAGTACCTATTCTAAAAGAAAATTTTGTCTAATTAGCATTAGAGAAGTCAGTTTTGAATTTCTAAGAGGGTTTCAAAATAATTTTAAAAAACCTGAAAGAAATTTATAAGTAAACGGCAAATATATTATATTAAATTAAATTTTTTTAATGTAGGTTTTTCAGTTAAAAATATAAGTAAACTTAAAATTTTGACAGATAACTTATATTTACTTTTTTTTAATTTTGGTAAAATGTTCAAAATATTTGAGCCACTTTTAAGCTATTTATAGGCATTTTAATTTTAATTTTGCTTGTTTTTTATCTAATTTTTCTTCTATGGGTGATCTGTGGATACAATTTTTAAACTAAACAGAAATGCTTGAGATTTAACAGAAGCTTAATTATAAGTTGTACTTAATGGTTGAAAAAAAATTTAGTGTAATGTGGTATTTTTTATTTATTTTATCTTTGATTTAAAATCAAATTTTGATGAAAATCGTAAGTATTACAGTCTTTCAAAATGTAATGTATAACCAAACTTTTATTTGAATCGTTTTTTCTTAAATATGATTGAAAGATTAATATTTTTGTCATAAGTTATTATTTTGTTTAGATAAATAAAATGTAATTTATATGCTTACAGCAGTTTTCAATTGTATTTTTCTTACTATTAAATCAAAAATAATTTCTATGTAGGTATTAAGTAAAAAGAAAAGATTTGGAAAAATAGGTACCTAGGTAACTAAGTAAATTAAATAATTATTAGCAAGTATAATTATAAATGATAAACTAGGTATTTGTGTAAGACAAAGCATACAAGAATCATGAAAAAAAAAAAATAGAAATTTAAAACATCAGTGATAAAAATATACAATCCTTGTAGTAGGTATTATAATATGTATAATTGATGAAAGTTAATGTGGAGGTAAACATCAAGTATTGTATGTATCAAAATAAGGGGTTTATAATGTACTTTTATTTGTATTTTATAATATAACGTATTCTTCTTAGAACCTTGCATTATGGTCTTATTATTAACATAATTCAAGAGTATATATTTCAACATTGTTTACATTGAATATGTTTAATAAATTACACAATGTTAAATTACAGAAATCTGAAGTAATATAAATTTAAATAAAACTAAAATTGAACAACATAAAATTATAATTGCAAGAATATGCTGCATATTCCACCAAATAAAAAATTGTACGTGTACCGACCAATGTACAAACTACAAAGACCACAATAATAATATATTGGTACATATTATAATGGACTCCATGTATGAATTACACACAAATTAAATTAACATGTCAGTTATAATGAATGTTTTACATATTTACATTATATTTAATTATTTTTAACCATATTTCTTGTAGAAATGATCAAAAATGTCTAGAACTGATTAGGTATTACATAATCCAAAATGCACCATATCTATTTAGATGAATATTTAGATTAATTCAATGTGATTGTGAGTTAAGTAATAGCTGGCATAGTGGTAGCTAAAGGTTAAATAAAGAGTTAAATATTAGAAGAGATATTAGAACACATTGAGTAAATAAATAGATGGATAGGGAGATTTGCAGGGTGATGGTCAATATAAAAAATATTAAGATTAATTTGAAATAATTGAATTGGTAATAGAAAGTAATATATAAAAATACATTCCCTTAATATACTTGTAATATATTATAGATGCCTATTTGTATTTGTGTCTAAATTAGTGTTCATTGTGTAATAATACTCATGTGTACAATAATAATATAATATATTAATATCAATGAATAAGTACAAAAAATTAGTTTTTAAAAAAGTTTAGTAAAAAACAAATACCACAATAATAAAAAACAGTTTGTTCTATTTTGTGTTTCATGATTACCACATGGTTATATTAGAATGAGTAACTATAGTGATGAATCAAAAAGGTTATTGATTATATGGGCCATACAGGTTAAAGATTATTTTACTGTAGGTAATTTATTATACATAAGAAATACTACCCATGCCATACATCAAACATTTTTTTGATATATTACTGTTAAGTAATTATTATCATTAAAATGTTTAAGTAGGTATCAAGGTAAACAGAGCACTAAGACTAAACAAATGTAATATATTTAAAGAAAAATTCAAAAATAGGAAGCACATTTTATTATTTATAATGCTAAAATATGTGAACACTGAACATACTTCAGACTTTGGATAAGCTAGAAGAGCAAAAACTATTAATTCATTGTTTAAAAGTTTTTAAAAATAATAAATTATTGTAACTAAAAAAAAAAATTACATTGTGACCTACCTAGTATTAAAGTAATGAAAACATACATTTCTAAAGGATAGTAATAAAATGAGTTGTTACTTTTCTCGGAATTTATGCATTTTAAATTAAATATACCTAGATACCTACACATAAATTAAACTAGGTACTATGAAACAATAAATTGATTAGTCACTGATCTATGTTTATAAAGTAAGGTCCTACTTAAAGTAAGGTCATTATTAAACCTACTGGGATGAATATTTAAAAACAATTTTAAAATAGTATAACTATACAATATTATAATAAACATGCATTGAAATTTCCCAAGTACTGAAGTACTCACCCAACTAGTGTTTAAAATGTACTCCAGCAGTAATAATTTTGTTACAGCATGATCATTGGATAAACTATAATAAGAGCTTGGACATAGACATAATATGTGTGAATGTTATTTATGTGATTGAAGGTCACAAATAATTTGACTTCACATAAAAAATTGTTAAAAATCATCAAGGTTATTAGAAAACCTGTTACATACTTCAATATATACATCGCCATTTTTTTATTAACTAATTATTAGAATTTCATGAAATTCAAACAAAAACTACGGTAAAAAAAATATATTATACCAAATATAATGTATTTTTGTGACATACATATTATGAAATAAGATAGATTAGAATGATAAAATTTTTTTTTTTTTAACAAAATTCTATATTACGCTTTCCGCTTCTATTAGAACAATAAGCTTAAGTGATAATAAATAATAAAAAAAAAAAAGACTTAAGAATGATAAAATTAAATGCAATTTCTTTGCAAAAAACATATTTTTAACTGCAGTTTTTTTCTTAAGTCTTTCATTTATAACACATATTTACCACGTTTATTACAATAGGGTGTTTAGTATTTACTGGTAAATAATAATAATAGTTTAAGTTTGGGTAGGGAAGACTGAAGAGTAGTAGAGCACTATTCAAAGGTTGCGCCACACCCTCACACAAATGACAATCCTTTCCTTCACCCAAAGTTAAAAGGGTTGACAGAAATGTAAAAAAATAAGATTTTTTCAATGAATTAACATAGAAAATGTCACAAGACTCATAAAATTGTAACTTATTCAGAATCACATGCAATACGGGTACTTAGTAGGAACTTATCAGTGTTGTATAAAATATGCAGATACATATTTTGAATATTTGTTTACTCATTAATTTGAATAAAAAATAAAATTATTCTATACAGGATTTGTATTCATTACATTTAATGAGTTTACTAAACTATAATTTAGGTAATACTGAAGTGCAGCTGAGTACTAACAACCTTTCAAATTGATGTTACCGACAAGATGGCCCCAACTATAAAAAAAATCACAGCCACTGTTGTAAGGTAGATTATTGTTGTTGGTGTGAAGTTTGGAAGATTAGAAATTTATAAGTAGGATAGTTTTAGTTAATGTTTGTATACTGTATGCAATAGTAAATCATTAAACAAAAACCAATTCTGAGCGAGTTTGGGTAAACATTTTTTAATAAATTTAAACTTCCAAACGTTTAGGTATAATACCAATTTGTTTCAGATAGGTTTGATAAAAAATTATAAGGTTTACAAATTATATTCGATTATACGTCATATTATGATATAGTAATGTTGTATTTCCTGTGTGAGAATACGTGGCTTATGAATTTATAGCATAACTACGCCGACGATAAGTCAGGGTTGTTACAGACGTTAAATTGTATGTAACATTAATTTCAATTTTAAATATTAGTAGTAAGACATACTGTATAATACAAGCATATAAAAGTAAACAAAATAATACGAACATTTAATAATTATCGGCTAGAGTAGGTACCGAAGTTTGATGAAAGTATGAATAGCTACCTAATGATAAGGTAGTAACTATAGGTACACGGTTATATAACAAATAATATATGTTCTTCGAACGACCATAGACATTAGAGAATGGATAGGCCATGACTGTACCAACAGAATAGAGGGAAATGTAGTCGAATGTGAAGACAGATTGTTTTTATCAGTGCCTCTTACTGTGGCCGAAAAATTATTACAAGATAACCACTGTGATTATTATATATTGCAATATGTAAATATTGGAGATGATAAAACTTAAAAAAATTATTAAATTATATTGTTATTATTAATTTAATTATTTGACTTATTTACTCCTAATTGAATTCATAATAAAACAGTCTTATACTATTTAATATCTACGGTTTTGACAAATGAATAATCATCTCCTAAGTCCTAATACTGTTATCTATTTATGTTAAGACCTCTAAAATGATTATTTTCGTGTCCGTTCCCGTATGATAAGCATAAATGAAGGCTTGTCCATTCTTTAATATCTATGATGACCGCACTATTAAAAAAAAAAACTAAACATCGGATCTATGGCAATTCGGGGCTCGTGTGTAAAATGTAATTTAAGACAATGAGTATTATTCATTGAACTATAAAGGTTTATAGGTCTATCATGGTAGTATCGCAATTGAACTAGTGCTGCTCCAAGTGGAAACTGCAATAATTATCAGCCCATATTATGTTATCAATTGTCTGACAATGAAACAATGATGTTAATTACGAACCTTTTGTTAATTTATCTAATGTTTACAAAATGAGTACTACGATAGGAATATAAATTACAGGATCAGTAATTTAATTAAAATTTGTAAAACTACGCGCGATTAAACAACTAACATACTGTCCATAAACAGTAATAAATAAGTATCTGCATTCAAAACTGTAGGCATATGCATTTCTATTTAATAGTTATACCTAAATATACCTAATACAAATGACAATGTTGACCAATAACAAGAGTAAGTATTCAATATATTTTGAAGCTTTTGAAATAGTTTGAATGTTTATGACGTTCATGTATTTGGCCAATGAAATAATTAGATTCAATTAAATATATGAAGAAAAAATTTAACTTCAAGGCAACAATACAGATTCAGGTACCTACACACATGTATTTATTAACTATTTAAAAATATTAAATGTTCCCATTAGTTGTTTTTGTTCGGAGCTACAAAAATTTGTGTGTTATAAACTTTGTTTTAGGTACATTTTTATTTATTTTAAGTAATAACAGAATTGATATTAGTAATTGTATAAATAAATAAAAAAAAACTGGGTACAGGTACCTAAGAAAACAACAATAATAATAAACGTGCGCTTAAAGATTTATGAACATAGAATTTATTTTAATATAGTTAGGTCACTTGATCAGTACCCGATACAGTATAGATAGACACCTACTATAATTTAATTATTTAATGTAGGTATTAAAATGGGTATTATCCTTTTTACATTTTTGTAAGATACTATGTATTTACAAATTAATTATGCACAAAAAAAGTAGTACAGAAGCTGAAAAGAAGGTAATACAGTAGGTAATGTGTGCATTATATTTATAAATTACAATAGCGCCTACTCATCGTAGACCTTCCAAACACCAGGATAAAATACAACGGGTTTCATCATCAAAACAAAATCCTAGCGTTTATAAACAAGATTCGACGGATATAAAAACTGTTTCATTGTCGGTTTTTGCTAATGCATTACTGTTTTGACCAATGTCATGATTATAAAAACTAATCGTAGTGTATGAGCGGCTCATTGCAAACCATAGACACCTAGTACCTACGCATGATCTGCTTCGGTCAATACCCAACCGTTATAAGTTATTGCTATTAGGTACCTAATTCTAAAAGTTTTTTTCATTTTTAAAACTACATATCTAATCCGGCTAAATATAAAGCGAATGAAATGTCGGTAACCAATATTTTAAAGGCTTACCAAAGTCTCGTTGTACGTGTTATTATTATTTGGGTTATTTTTTTCACATTTTTCTTTCATTATTCGTTCGCCTTCGTCTATCGGTATGGTATCTTTGAACTGATCGAAATCGGCGATTGAATCGATCTTTTCTTTTACTGTGTCTTTTAAACTGTTCAAATCGGTATCCCCTTCAATACCGCTGACGCCCCAGTTCACGTTGTTGGAAATGACTGGAAGTTATCAAGGTACAGGTATAAATACGTGATACGTAACAGTGTGTAAAATAAAACGGACGCATCATAACGTAGCCGACTCACCCAAACAGACGAGTATCGACGGCAAAACGAACTTGGCCATGTTCGATGCGAAATCGTATAGACGGATGGGTCACCTGTAATATTCGTGTGTTATAATATCGAATTGTGCACCGCGAGAGACCGGCACATAATATCCGGACGGGGAACGCGAACGGACGAACGGACGATCGACAACTGTGCGGTCGTGTACGCCGAAGAGTGAGGGGCCTCCTATAACAGCGTTATTGCGTGTGGAATGGACGGCGACGGCACCCGAGTAGTTTGACGGAACGGAATGGAAAGTCGCCGAACAAAACGGAATCGCGGGGGGCAACGCAACAGCGTTATTACGGGTATTAGGTAGGTCGTAGTTGGTAGGTACGAACTGTTAAACAGCTACCGTTTTTGTATACCTATTATTGTTGTTATCCCGGCGATAACAGTGGACGGCGCAAGGCGAACGGGAAACAACAACATTTAATCTGCTAAGGCCGTTTCGTTATCGACACTGCGGCGCGCGTGGAGGGGAAATCCGAAAAGGGACGGGCGGTCCGTCTCCTAGGCACTCGTTCTGAGCGAGTGTTGGACACTTCACGCTTAGTGGACGGACGCGGGCGCGTACGAGTGAGCGCGATAATGCCGTCTGATAACGTGACGCGGTAAGAGGAATGATAAGCTACGACCACAGCAAAATCCGCTGCTGCAGACGGCGCTGATCGTAATATTATAATAATAATATTGGATCGTCTCGGTTCGAGCAATTAAAAATGTTATTATAATACAATAATTGTTGGAGTACCCACCGCGGCATAAATACACATTTTATTCCACGGTACCGTACTACCTTCTACCTGCCTATTGTACCGACAGCGCGTGCCGTTCTACCGTGATAACACGACGCGGATGATAAGGTCGGGTACAAAAGTAATGGATAATAATATTATTACAGAGATAATAACAAGCGGCTGTATGTAGCGGACATTAAATTATAATGTCCCAAAATATTTCATCCGGAAATTTATTCCCGAAAAATATTTCAACAGAAACGTATTTTATCCGCAAAGTAAATAAATACGAAAATAAGACAATCGAAAATAAATGATTAGAAAATATTTCATCCGAACCGTATTTATTTTAGCACAGAAGAATGTTATCCTACCACAAAAACATACGACTGTACATTTACCACAGAATAACCTTAGAACTAAGATAAATAGTTATCGTGTGTAGTGCCATAGATTGAATATACCATAATATTAAGTCGTACAGTCAGATAGAGACGGCATTGTATAATATCTACGTTTTTCTTAGGTTATGCTCAAATATTAATAATAAAACTGCAGAGATAATCAAAAAATGAATAACATACTTATGAACTGGATTAGAAATTCAACAAAAAACGTATCTTGTCGTTTATCTATTAACGGTGGAAAATTTTAGCCGTAAAAATTTAAAATAATAAAATCGCTGTACCGTGATTTGAAAAATAAATCCTGTATTTTGTCTATTTTGGTTTTTTTTCAATTCTTATAAAAGATACTTTAAACATCAAAAAACAATTTTCTCTGTCAGTGCCGATGTATTAAAAGAAACTAAATAGATAATTTGTCATTTTTGGATTGGAACAGTATTTCTAACAGAAAAGATCCAATTAATATAATAAAATTAACGAAAACGGAACTCCGCGGTGCGCTATAAGTATTTATCTTTGTATCTATACTTTTCTTTCTCAGGTTTTTCCCAATTATTTCAAAAACCCCTTGGGAAATCGAAAAATTACCTTCTCATTGCGCAAACGAGAGAAAATTACCTTTCAGAAAAGTAGTTATACTTTACTAGACTTCCTAAACCATATTTCGAAGCAAGTTTTCGAATAGAAAAGTTGTTCAAAAACGAAAAATAAAGACGTTCTAGGATAATGGGGACAGGTGCAGACACTGTTATAGACAATTTAATGTCAACCTGTAAGCAACGATAAACTATTGCTTACCAAAAAACAATTCTGAGCAGAGTTCAGTTGACAGTGATGTTTTGTCAACAACATACGTGTCATTTTAAAGTAAAATGCCGACTGATACTTATGAAGTTGATGCCTAATAAATTATTAAAAAATATTAAACACAGTTGATTTATAATTGTTTGTTTTTATGTCGGGTGCTTACTGCGTATGGATAAATTTCCCCCTTGAGTTTGAGTAGAAATTGGCGTCACTTGTGGCACATCAATAATGCGATGGATGTTGGCTTTTTAAAATTTTATTTGTGAGTACCTGTATTGTCTACCTATAATACATTTCTGTTTTTATGTTGTTCCCGATTATATTTTCGTCTGGAATAGAATTGCCACCTGCATGTTGGTAATAGGTATTGTAATATTTTACAACGGTTGTCACTTGTCAAGGGTAAATTATTTTTATTATTATAATTATTCTTTTATTTGCATGTTATATGATGTCGTCGAGTCAACTTGACTACTGACTTATGATGGTGGACTACCGCTGTGCAGATGATCAACAGACTAACAAGTAACAGAGTACGAGTTACGGTCGACAGACCGTTAATTATAATAATTTCTGTTTCTCTCTGTCCCTAACCTATAAACAGTGTTTGTTTGATTGTTCCCATGATATGCTATTCCACTACGTAATTATGACCCGTGAAAAATTTGTATTGTTTTATATAAATCACTTTTAAATATGTATGTGAGTAGTTACTATTTACTAGCTGAGTAAATAGGTATTATAGCCCAGTGACGTATTGATACATTTTTCATAGGGGAAGGGGGATCTAAAAAATTTTCCCAGCGCAAAATAGTAATTTAATTCATATATTTACTATACAATTCAAAAATAACAATTTTTTTAGGACCTTAATTAATTTTAAATCCGTCTACACACCGAGCTACCGACTAAAAATAAACTGATTTTTGACTCAAGTCACTAATCAATCTAGTTACTAATGTAATAAAATGGAACGTCACAGACGGCGAAACTGGTTACTAACCAGTTAAAAATGTGTTAGTGATAAATTTCAAGTGACTCGACTGTCAAATCACCTTTAATATGAGTCACTTCAGTTTTACGTCCACCAACATAACTTTTTGGTTTTCTGTATACACACACTCTGTATGTGTAGATACCTTAGTTAGCCTGTTATATTATTATGTTTTCCTGGATGACCAATCTTATATGTCCGCATTCATTATATAGTACTATACAAATAATAAAAAAAAACTTTCTCGTTTGTATCATTACATTGTTTGTTATGTTCACAGATATTTAAAGACAGACTAGTTATGACTTATAATTGATTTTCAAGTTTAATATCAATGTTGTTTTACATAATATATTAATGTTTAAATAGTGAAATATTTATGACAATTACCTAACAGAAAATATGTAACTATAGAACGACTGATATTTGATAAAAACACTGGCATTTTGTAGTTAACAAAGCCACAAAATATATTAGTCATTCGTTGGATTGCGTAAAAAAATTATCAATAATTAAATAACGTAATAATATTAAAATATCGTTTCTACTATATAAAATGTATAAAATAAAAAATATTCCTATAATTTGTGGGTGTGTGTAGTGTTCGTATGTGTGACTACACTCATAATATTATATTATATATATATATATATATATATCGATATTGTGGAACTTACAACGACGATAAGTCGTACTAATCTGCGAAAATGTTACGTAATCTACTGGAAAATTATAATAATAATTACATATATGCATGCTATGGTGAAGTATGAAATTTTAGAACTTCTTGTTTCTATGTTTCTATGTTGTGTATCGTAATAATTTAAGAACTGCTTGTTTTTTAAATCATTCAAGAAAATATTAATAATTTCCGATACAATGAGTGTCTTAACGAGGATTGATCTTCTTGTATAGTATAAGTTTGTATCCAATTTGGTAGGTTATCTGGTTATCTAAATTTATTTATTTAGATACAAAATAGCTATTGTACTGTATGAGCAGGTACCTACTTTTGTTATGAAGAAAGTGACGATTTATAAAACTAAACAATTACCTGTTAAAGAAACAAAAACAAAATTATACGATTTAATGACGACTATTATAGCAATAACAATCGAAATGACAATATTTAATAAAGGAAAATAAACAACTACCCAGGTAGTTAACGATCAAAGTTTTTTTTTATACATTATCATAATTTGTATGTGACGTGTGATAATGAATGGTGATATAGGCAATCCAGTGTGCACACACGGTGAGATGATGCCGGTAAATACGGAACACTACACTATGTACGTATACCTACTTATATTAATGTATAACTGAATTTTAATATAATATTATAAATTACAATCATTCTTATGATTTTAAGTTTCTGAGTGTAGCGCAGAATGTATTGGTTTTACTAAGATATTTATTTTATTTTAATTTTTTTATCCTGTATACAAAAATTGAACCATAAATCTTGCTCAGATATATACGCGCGGTACCATTTCTGAAAGGGAATGTTGTCCAGATGGTACTTTTGTAATGTCATTTTTTAATTTTCCAAACGGTTTTCATAAGTTTTCATAGAGTTTTGGACGTAATATTTATTCAGTATGTACTCTGTAGTAAAATTGTTAGACTTGAACAGAAGTGCTTTAAAATTTGACAAGAGGTTCATAAAGAATCTTAATTTGTTGTAAATAAAAAAAAATTGAGTTTAATGTAGCATTTTTTTTATAAGGGAATTTTAATATCAAATTTTGACGAAAAAATTATGTGGAACAAATCTAATTTTTCAAATTTTTTTTTTTTTGAACATACTATGTATATTGCCGATTTCGAATTTAAGTGGTCGGTTTTAATTAGATTGTTGAGTTCGGTTATTCTAGTTTTATTAATAGTCGAATCCCCTCTAAATTACCGGTGTTTCGGTTATACCGCTTATAGTCCGGCGCTGACCTTCGTTAATTACAGTGTGATTTTGTAATGCGGAAATTTTGATCAAACTCATGTCCTCGTCCGTATCTACTAATAATTTAATTTCAAATGGCGTAAAATTATGCGAAGTTTATTTGATGTGTTCCCTTTCCATATAAGCCACGGTCCTCACACTATTTTCGATTTGTTCTACCATGCGGTTATTACTAAAATTACCCGTTGTTTCTTTTTCTTGTTATAAATTTGTTTACGATATTCGACTATTACACTATTCTTCTTTTTTACAGTAGTTACAGAATTTAATTTAGTTGCCTGATGGTTTGTTCTTGTTAAAATTACCCGTATTTCAGAATCCCGTTACCCGATGCTCACTCGACTGACACTCGTTATTATAATGTCCGAACTTACTACACTAATGACATTTTATTTTACTTTTATCTATGGGTTTTCGAAATTTGCTTTATCCCCCCCATTTACATTAAAATCGGGTTTATAATTAGCTTTTTCTTCTTTTAACGCAAGAAAACCGGCTTACTTAAATGTCTCTACCTTATTTGCTTTTAAAATTATACGTATGTTTGGTTCAATTCCCGAGATAAAAAGGCTCAGTGCTTGTGACTGGATCGTTTTCACGATAATTTTCTCTTTCCCCTCAGGAG